AAATATTTGCCCCACAGTAATGCCTTTTGATTTGAGACTTAACTTTTCTTACATTTTCATTCGCCGGAAAATACTTGTAAATAATCCTTTGTGTGACAGATACACTTGAAGTTACTTAAGCATGATATCATAACATCATGATATCTTTAGAGATAAAGATAAATTGTTAATTTCTAAAGATTATAGTTCAATAACATCCAGAAATGTAGAATTGGTCATGATTGGCCTCAAGTTCAGTAATTAATTTTTTTTTTGGTTCCACACGTTGATGTTTGAAAATAGAAAAGTTCATTGATTTTATGTTATGCTTTTTCATGAAAAGGACCATCAGAAAAGTTATATTGACCATGTATTTACAAGCATCTTTTGATGCAAAAGAACCTATTCTAATTCCCAAAAAGACTCTGGAACTTTCATCATTCCTGCAACTGACCTGTAATTCAGCTACGTTATTGAAGTTGAAAGTGGTTAGAATAAACATAGCTATCTATTGATCATAATAACAAGCTATTAATAAATAAGCAGTTTAACTTTGCTGTTTGAAATTTAAAAATTAATGTAATCATTAGATTTATTTAAATTAAACAACAGGTGGTGTTCATATTTTTTTTATAAAGTTCACAGCAAAACTTTGTTTTCATTTGACTTAACATGTAGGAAAAGAGGTAATTATGCCATCTTTCAAACACTGAGATAAGTGCGGACGCATCCTAAGGATGTCAAATATCATGTCTCTGGGGTCCAAACCATAAACAATGCATGTTGAAAAAGCAATTGCAAAAAAATCCCAAAGTCACTGCCATTTTGCTGCTGTTGTACTGGCATAACTGGCATACTAGTGATTTCAACATTGCTGTCTGCCATCAAACTTTCAACCTGTTTTTTGACCTCTCTTTCTATGATATCATGGGAGAGACTATCAAAGAGATTAACCACATTAGGTTGACATCCAACCGAACTGATACATACCCAGTGAGAATGTCCAGTGTGTAATATCTGTACAAATTCTCCAGTCATGATATCAAAATTTCGAACAGGGCCAAGAGTTGGTTTTTGGAAGCCTTCAATGAATGGGTTAACTTTCTGTAAACAGGCATGAGCTTGCTGAATTATAGTGCAGTCCAGCCAACCAGTAGGAGAAAGAATGGTATCAAAATGGTTATCAGAAAAATTACCAAGGTATGCATGTTTGTTGGTTTCCCCTTCAGCTAGTTTTGTTATTTCGATGTTATCATCACTTGCACAGTTTCCTATATTGTCAATGCTACCTGTAGGTGAATGTGGCACAGAACAACCAGCATTTGCATCAGGGGGTGCTTCAAGTTATTGTTAATGTTACCTGGAGGTAACGGTAATACAGGAACATTGTTTGAAAAAGAACTGGTAGAAGAACAAGTGGTAGGATTAATAGAAACACTTCCATTCTTTAATGCTGCTTTTGACATATTGTCATTGGGATTGTTTGAAGTATGAAACCTATCTGAAGTATCATTTACAAGACATGATCCAAACAAATGACTGTCTGTGTTTGTTGATACATGAGGTATGGATTTAGCATGAACAACGTTTGTTCATAGATGAACAGATTTCAAAAATTAAAAACATGCGAGAAAAGAAACGGTCAAAAAAAATTATCAGACCGTGACGATGGTTTCGTAGATATGCAAATTTATCATGTTTTCCAACAAGAGTATTTACCATTTCCTCAAGTCTGCAGCAGAAGAATACCCCAACCTTTTGACAAGCCCGTCGGAATGATTTGAATTTATATCAAAAGTAAGCCTTAAATACCAAAGTAATACATTGTGGCAGTGGCTGCACACACGAAACGGAATGTGGTTTGAGATCGACATCAACTTGAACTCGCGGGAATACACAGGCCATCAGATTTTATACTTGAGTCAGAGGTGGAAATTTATTGCTTTATTCGAGGAGCCTGTTTGGATAAGATCAGTGGTTTTTTTTGTTATTATTATTATTTTACTTATTTGCCCACAACAAGTACGCGTACACTGAATTGTAGGTACCATTGAGCTACAATATTAGAAAAGTTATGGTTTTTTTTGTTTGTTTGTTTGTTTGTTTGTTTGTTTGTTTTTTCACAGAAAGCCAAAATTAATATTTTATAATAGTAACTGAACCGAGTGGAGTGCAATTTGGGCTGGAATTTCAAAATTTACAGACATTAACATTACAAACGAACCGAACAGAACGAACTAACTTCACTAACGGATCCAAACCGACCAATCAGTTTATTCAAATTGGACTAAGTAAATTCGACTGACAACAACTTTCACTTGACTCTGATGATGACTTCCGCTCAGGTTGTCGAAACGTCAGTCACCATTACCGACAACAGTCCTTCTCAGGACTACACTCCCCCGAACGATCAAACTACACTATTACATGTTAGCCCGGGTTCAGACCATTTACTGTAATATTCGGTCAATTTTCCTGAAATTTGGAGATAATGTCGGAAATATAATGAACCCCTAAAGAGCGTCCTCGATTTCCGTTTTTTTTCTTCTTATTTCTTAAGATATAGCGTCTACATTGAAAACTTTGCTCAAAAGCGCTTGCATTTTGGTGGGTAAGTAAATGAATACCTAAAGAGCGTCCTCGATTTCCGTTTTTTTCTTCTTATTTTCTTAAGATATAGCGTCTACATTGAAAACTTTGCTCAAAAGCGCTAGCATTTTGGTGGGTAAGTAACGTTGTAGGAAGGAGTCCAAAGTAAGTTGTTTACTTTTCCTGAGACGACGTTGTCGACAAACATTGCGCCAGCCACAGAAGGACAGCGGCTGTTACAGTATAAACCTGGGGATTTTATGAACATGGCAATAGAAGCGTCTCTGTTTCACATATTCTTCTAAGGTGTAGCGTGATCACAGAAATTGGTGTTGCTAGCATTAACGCAAGGGCATATCCGATCTTCTGCATGCGTAGAAAACACGCCAGCCAACCGAGTGGTAACCAAATAAGCTCGTTAGAAGATGAAGTGTAACATAAAAATGACAAAATAGATCTCACAGCCAAAGCGCTGAATGGTGGCACCTAAATGTTTAATATTCTTTTAGTCCAGTCATGTATGGTTGAAAGGTGATGGGAAGTATATATATGTATATCTTCCTTGATCTGTGCCAGCTTGAATTACAGTGCACTTCCTAGTTCCTTTTGAAGCAGGACTGTTTAAAGAAATTATGACCTTGCCTGTCGTCGAAAAATTTTTACGACCAAGAGTTAATTCTTTTGGCCGTTTTACTTCTAATGGTTAACATCACTGAGACCCCTTGTAGATAAAACTTGTTTCCTTAAATCCTAAAACAGCAAGCAGGTAATATTCATTAAGTGATCTTTGGTTGAAGCTACTAACTATTTACCTCTCTCAACTATTTATCTCTGCTAGAAGATTCAAAGACCTTGATCAAAACCAGTTGTAGTTGTCACGTGGTATAGACCATTCGACATTCCCATTGGTATTTTTTCGGGTTTTTAATCTCTAATCGGGAAATGAAGGATATTTCGTAGTGGGAGATCTTAAATGCAGCATGAGTTCTACTCGATATGACAAAAACACATTCAAACTGATGAGTATTGCTGATGTTTATAGATTCTAGCAACTCATCTCCAAACCGTCAAGGGTAACAGCTACTTCATCAACTTTAGTTAATCTAATATATAGCAATTGTGTGAATAAGATTGCGTGTCAGGAGTTCCTCACACCGCGATTAGTAATCAAAGCATGGTTTTTGCCCACAAAAAAATTAGACCTGAACGGGATTTCTAATGGAAATAACACAGTAACTTATGAGAATTTCCAGAAATTTGACGAACAAAGCTTTCGAAATAACATCTCATCCCAATCTTTAGAGAACCTTTATGCATTCTCCAATCCGAATGAGATGCGGCAAGTATGGAAACATACAATTTTGGCAAAAGCTAACAACCACGCTCCACTGAGAACAAAGCACGTTAGCGCGTAGTTCTCCGTGGATCACACCAGGAATAAAAGGTCCAATGCATAAACGATACATCTTAAAAATAAAGAGGGGAAAATGAATAGATAAATAGATGAATAAAAAGAAAGCTCAACAGTTTCCACTTATAGTCATATGGTACATGAACTGATTACTGAGGTGGAGTAAAGCCATTCTGGAAATGCAACACCCCAGGTTCAAAATTGAATAAATCAGGATAGTCATTCTTAAAATGAACTCAAATGCTTCATTAGAATTAATTGACAAATGACATTGATGTGCAAAATTTCAATAACGCTACTGATAATAATAATTTTCTTTTGGATTAACACGGTGACACAGCGAAATCATTCAAACTGCTCTAAAATGGTGCATCACTTCTAAAGACTTTAACACGAACGATAACATCAACAATAGCATGCTAGTTCATCATCAATTGTAGTAAATTTCTTTTCCAAAAAGTCTTAATGGTTACGTACCAATCGATTCCATCCTATTGAGCTTCCAGTCAAGCACCAGCCCACTTTGGGCTGGATTTTCTTCAACTCGATCAATAAACCGCTTCCATACTCTGCTATTTCAATAAGTAAAAGACGCTGATTGATATCAGCGGGCCCCTAATGTGACATGTATACTGGTCAGCGGTTTTTTGGAGAAACAGCTGTCACTAACATAACAATGTGGATGTCCGCCATAACAACAATGCACTGCAGGAGTTTTTTTAAACGATTGCATAAGAGGCTTATTACATTTAGGACTAAATGTTATTACATTTAGGACTTTATTACATTTAGGACCAAATGTTATTACATTTAGGACTTTATTACATTTAGGACAGTTATTACATTTAGGACTTCAACAAGGTATCTCACTTGCACAGATACACGATTTCATCTCCATCCAACTAAGCAAACAGTCTTTTTACTTAAAAACAAACTAAACAAGTCTAATACAACTGGCCTAAAGAAAATATTTGCGAGACTTATTCGGGAGTGCGCGGACCTCGTTTGTGGGCCTATATGCGATATTTCTAACCATTCTATCAGACAGGGTAAACTCCAAGAAGACTGGTGATCTGCTTGAGTCACGCTCCTCGTCAAGCAAGGTCATCGAGATGACGTAAACAATTACCGTCTGATCTCGGTTATCCTAGCTGAGGTCAAAGTATTGGAGACAACAGTTTGCGAACTATTACATGCCTGTTTAGAGGAGCACCATATACTATGCGACCATTAGTCGGGTTTTCGTAGTTTTCTCCATCTCACATACGCGGATGATGATGTAGGCAACATTGAATCATGTCTTAGTGAAGACCTATTGAGTGTTGATACTTGGTTAAACGCAAACAAACGCACTCTTAATATGAATAAAACCGAATGTATGTTGATAGGATCTGTCCAAAGGCCCCTACTGCTTCCCAATCAGTCACAATGAATGGTACTCGGGTGGCTGAGGTTTTGCGGACTACAAAATCACTCCGGCGGTGTAACAACTGACGAAAAACTCAGCTGGAATTGCCACATCGAAAAAATCAACCCAAAAGATCGCTTCTGGAATCGGAGCCATGAAACGTGTTAACTGAGGAAGTGGTTGCCAACCGACCTTGCATCCAGTTATATAGAACCTCGCCTTGACTACTGTGGTAATGTTTGGGGAACCTGTGGGGTAACCTTACAAGACAAGCTGCAAAAATTGTAGAATAGAGCAGCTTGCTTTCTGACATTACCAAATTATGACGCTGACGCTGGCCAATTGTTAGAAATTTTGGGGTAGAAAATTTTGACTAGCGGCGGAACATACAAAAGGGCACCTTGGTATTCAAATGTCTACATGAATTAGCTCCGGACTACTTAACTTCGAAATTCTCTAAATTCAATACAAGCTTCAATCTGTGGGACTTCTAGAACAAACTTAATGTTCGATTACCACGCAAAAATTATTTCAGCGAAGAGAGGAATTGTGTGTTGTGTGTGTGTTTATATGCAGAAAATGGAGCTGCACTATGTGTGTAAATATGGTGACAGAAAAACACGAATAAATTAGTTGAATAAAAAGCGCCCGTTGATACCATAAGAGTGCCGATTTGAAAGATAAATTTTTCTTATTGTTCGCTGCTCTAAGATCTGTGGATTGAAAAATTCTGAGGCGCGTAAGAGTCATTGGTGGCAGCAATTAAAAGCTACGTCGTGAGAGAGTGTAAAAGGGTAATTAAGGATATGATTTTCATATATTGACAGTCATTATTCACCGCTTGGAAGGTTTATTTCGATCCAACATAATAATCGGCTCCCAGTTGGCTTGTTAGCTTAGTTGGTAGAGCGCTGCATCGGTATCGCAGAGGTCATGGGTTCATATCCTGTACGGGCCTAAATTTTTTTTTCATAAATGAAAGCAATAAGGGACAAAGGAAACAATGAGTTCCCATCAGAAAAAAAAAACGGTAACTCCGTAGTTTTTAATCGAGGTGGGAGTATTGGAATATTGTGGGACAGAAGGGCACGAAGTACTATTTCCAAAACGAGAGCGAGTGTTTCATCGGGGTATCCAAGAACCGAGAAACAAATGAAAGCACGAGGCTGTAGGCCGAGTGCGTTTATTGTTTCGAGGTGTTTGGATACCCCGATGAAACACGAAGCACGAGTTTTAAAGAAATAGTAAACAAAGACTTCAAATTAGAATTGTTTGTTGTCTAACATTCCTTCCTCGATAATTTCTAGACCAACGATGTTTTTACCGGCGTAAATTGAAAATTGCTGGAGTTACAAGCATTTACAAGTTGTCGTTCAGTCAGGATGTATACCGCAACAAAGTCGTTCGAGAGATTTCGGCAGCCGAAAAGTGTGGAGAATGATAAGAAAAGTGTTGATAATGCAGGACCAAAATCAGCGGCTCATAAAACCAAATGGTCGTGTAAGGTTTTCGAGGAATGGAAACAGAATCGATTAGTGAAGTCCTATACTTTGGAACCGGCGGCCTTTCTACCACGAAAGACTTTCAAGAAGCTGAGGAGTACAAACTTTGGACAAGGCAATTACAGATATGTCTGCATGCAGTGTGAACTACTGACTGTCGAAGTTCGTTCAAGAAGTAAGCAACTCTTCTGGGGAACGCTATCCATCCCGTTCGTTGTATTCATTATTTGCGGACTGAAGCGCCACCTTTCTGTATAAATGGAGTGCTGCATTCAACCCTCTGGGCATGTCTTACCGAATATGTCAAGTTTAATGATAGTGAGGTAATTTCTTTTGTAAATGGGCTTAAATAAGAAAATGAGACATTGTAAAAGTAAGGTTACTTGTGAGTAATAAATATTTATTGATTTTGTGCAAGTTGTCATTGTGCATAATTTATGTGGTATAAACCACTCTCACTGGAGAGTGGTATACTGTTTTTCATTGGGTATCCAAACACATGCTCGTGATGTGGTATACATCTTGTGGTTGGTGGCTGACCTCGTGAATTATTAATGAGTTTGAGAAGGTTAACGAAGCCTTCTGCTATACAAAAAAATAGACAGTTAAGACTGCATGTGGCTACTGCTGTAGCACAATTTTTGGTAAAATCTCCGCACAGCCCCATACTACATTATGCATTCAGTTCTTGGATAGAGAAAACAACGACAAAAGCAATTCATTGCCGTTGGGAAAACAGATTTATTTAACAATAGTATGGGGCTGTGCGGAAATCTTACCCAATTTTTATAGCATTGAAAAGAATTAGAGGTTGTTTGATGATGCTAGAAGGTAGTGTTACAAAAGATTTGTCTCGCGTGCAAAACAGAAAACTTGTCGCATCCCACACATTTATGAGTATCCTGCTCCTCGCGGGAAAGATGATTCAATCCCTAATCAAATGGCAACAAATAATGATATGAACAAAAACAATAATAATGATGATAACAGTAATGATAATAATACTAATATTAATGATAATTTATAGTTATTAGCTCAAGAACTACACTGTTCCTCGTAAGTCTATCCTTTAGGCTCCAATAATGAGAAAACTAGGCTTCCTGTTAATTATAAATTATTTTCTTATTTCATAGCGATTCCATTTTTGTGAGACTTATTTCATACAATAAGGCATTCCACGTGGTAGGATATGCCGTCATTCCACTGTTCCATTATTCCATCGAGGGTCACCCTGTTGAACTCAAGGACTTTGCTCGCCTCGCAAATTTAGAGGCTCTTCGAGCATTTGCCACTGATTGAAATGGTAAATTCTCTCTTTGCGAATTGTTAAATTTTTCTTCAAAGTTTCCATGATGTGCAGATCAAACCTATTGAAATATCTGCAAAGAAAAGTTTTTTGTTTCAATCGCGTGTCAGAGACGCCACTATGAAATTATTTTGAGATGTTTCTCATATTTTGGGTTTTTCAGTTTCACCTTGGGGAAGGCCTAAAATAGGCTACGAAACCTGAAAGGTTCAATGGTTTCCTCCACAAACCTGTTATTCCCTGAGGTTTTGAAATTGACAGGGTTTTTCAGTTTGTTAAAAACCTAAACCTGAAAATGCATATTGGTCAATTTTTTAAGTCTGAAAAGCATATGGTCAATATTTTTGCGTGACACAAAATCTATGTGCAGTGAACATAACGTATACCGTGTGTTACGAAAATCATGCCATACACCATATTTTACTGACCTCTCCTGTGGGGAGAGGTCAGCAAAGATCAGTAAAGAGGTCACACACGCTGTGACAATACAATACAATAAAATGAAACATGAAATAAATATACTAAAGATAGAAAAAGATAATCTTACCCTATTGTGAAACAAACGAATAAGAGTTTACGGTGGAGAAATAGACCTACTTTACAAACGACGTCCATAGAATGTCAATGCTCATTCCGAAGATAGGCACCATAAATCGAGTCCACCGCTGATCGCGGCTCCCTACCGCAGTCATAGCAAGTAAATTAACTACTGCATCAGGAAACAAGAAGATTTCGACCGAGGAAAGGGATTTTTCCACCCCAATATGATCAAAACCGTCCATTTAATTTACGACAAAGGAGACACTATACCTTTAAATATCCACTTCCTTTGAATGAAACCTTTTGAGATGTCCACTAGGTCAGCGGTCGTTTTAGTGAAACTACTAACCCCACGAAATGGCGGCAGTGGCGAACTATGTCACATTTCTTTACAATATTTTCGTGTGTAAGCCCTTCACATGATGTTTATGGTATATCTCGGTATCATAGATGGATTGAGAGAATTTAGAAGTACTGAAAATGACCACACTTGAGCTGTACACGAAGGTAACTGGCAAGGGCTTTTCTGTTGATGACTAGTGGTACCTGGTGCAAGTTTCCCGATGAACAACTTTATATTCACCGGCTTTCCTTCTTTCTCTAGGGAGCTAGAGTATGGATCCCGCACGAACAAGTTATATGGATTGGCGGAGAATTAACTAAAGATTTAAAAGAAGATGGAATCTTGGAGATTGAACTCGAAGACGGAAATGTAAGTCTGAAGTTAATGTATATCATGTTCGACGTGAACTTGAGACCTTTGTAAAGTTTGACAATCGTATGTTTATTTATAATGAGCTCTTACGTTGGTAAATCTCACGCTCCATTTGTATTTTTATATATTTATTTTTATTTCTCCAATAGGAAATTACTCTCGATGTTTCTAAGGGAAAACAGAGCCTTCCTCCGTTGAGAAACCCCGAAGTTCTTGTTGGAGAAAATGATCTTACAACCTTGAGTTACTTACATGAACCTGCCGGTTTGTACATGTCAACAAATATCCCTTTGGTGAACGACGATGTGTTTGTTTAAACTTTTCTCAAGAATTCATAACAATTTTTCTTTGTTCTGCTTTCTTGTGAAACCCGTTGAATTCTCTTTGTTTAGTGAGGTTTCCTGTTGAGTAAGTAAATATAGTTACCAAAAATCAAAATTATATTTCGGAGTTGTTAGGTTAATTTTACTTTAATTTAATTTTTCCTTTTAGTGCTGTACAATCTTCAAGTTCGTTTCCTCCAATCCAATGCGATTTACACTTATTGTGGTGAGTATAAATGTATTCTCTGTGATTTCCTCGCTCGGTATTGGTAATTTTTTTGCGAAATATATGGAGGCATGTAAATATTGGTACTAAAATTTTAATAACTTCCAAACCATTTCGTGAAATTATTGGAGCGATACTAATTGCATTTGAGAGTCGTAAGATGTAATGTTTACTCGACGGTCGAAGTAGACGCTCAGCAAAACTAAAAGCAATATTGCATTTTCTATTAGGAAGAGTGATTGTTTTCAATTCCTTCTCGGGTTATCTTTAGTTTTGATTTTGTTGAGCTTACAATAGGCTTTCACGCCTTTTGACATTTCCGCAATTCCCTCTGGCTAGAGAAGTGCGAGAGAAAACACAAAGCTATTTTTAAAAATGCAAATTTCTGTTACTTGCTGAATATTTAGGTTAATTCCTGTCATTTTTTTAATTACATATTTAGTTCAATGTTACTTGATTCCAGATTTTTCATGAATTTTGAAGGCAGCTCATCCAAAATGACTCTAGTTTAATTGATCAAAATAAGATTTTCTAGATTGTCAATTCTAAGAATATTAGTGTGTGTTTGATTAGCTGATTTTGTTAGACTTGTATGTGAGTGTAGGGGAATATGGGATCTTAATGAATAATTATCAGCAAAATTAACAATGCCTCGTCCATACAGCGAAGATCTCCGATGGCGAGCCATTTGGATGAAAGAAATGTTGGGGTTTCAACCCCGAAAGCCTAAAATTAATTCTAATCTACCCATACTGCCTTTCGGTCTTGTCCCGTACCCTTGAAGCTTTGATCCGACAACGTAAATTGAAATAGCTGTATATTTTATAATTATAAAAGGTTTCAACAACGGCATTTTTGTGAGATTAAAATAAGTTTTCTACAGAATTGTCAGTGTAGCCATCTTCCTAATGAAAATCAAAGTCTATTACTTTCAATTCTAGACTATGAAGTAATTTGACATTTTGTCAAATTCCTATTACTTCCATTAGGTTAAAGGAATATGCTTGTTCAGCATCAAGACTTTTCAGAGTAGCTTGTCATTCAGCCAGATTTCATGAAATTTCGATAAAACTTGAATAAGATATTGTACCCTCTGCTTAATGTGATGAGCTACCATCATCTGCTGAATACCCTTGATTGTTGTTTAATAGTCAGGCATAATGTGTTTCTTACCCAATAAATGTACATTTTATATTCTGAATTAAATCTCAGTGATTCCCGAAGAGCAAGGTTTTGGGTATCAATAAGATAATTGTGGTTGTATCAATAGTTTCCAAAATCTTACTTAGGTGTTCATGGCCTAGTAAATGTGATGCTTAATTGATGTAAATTATAATTTGCTATGCTTTTGATAGAGACATTAATGTACAAGATCACCTTCAAAATCCTTGCAGGTATTGTTCTGGTTGCTATCAATCCTTACCAACAGCTTCCTCTCTATGGACCTGACATCATATCTGCGTATAGTGGCCAATCCATGGGTGACATGGACCCACATATTTTTGCTGTTGCTGAGGATGCATTCAGAGCCATGGCCAGGTGATTTTAAAGGACTAGAAAAGTCAATTTGAGCCCTCGAAATTTTTTTATCAAAATCTTGAGCAGTCAAATCTATGTCAAAGGTTTGGTGCAGGCTCCATAAATTTGTCTTACCAGTGCATCCACCTAGTGGAGATTTTAATGCTGCTCTGTGGTTACTTTTTTTTTTTTTGGAAAATACTGAATAAATAGTGTCAAAGAATTCACTTGGGGAGATCTGTAAGTCAAATTGATTTCTGCAATACAGTTACATTGATATGGATTCTTATCCAAGATAATGTAGACTCTGGTAACATATTTGAAAATAAATTATCATGAGATTGGTTTAAACCTTTAACCCCTAATAGTGACTAGCTTGTAATTTTTCCTTACAATATCACGCCTGAACCACACATTAAGGTCATGAGAATAAAGGAAATGATCACTTTGAACCTTGTGATTGTTAAATAAATTCTCCTTGTCAGCACCTTTTAGTTAGGAAATTTATAGGGAACAGTATGGAAAATATTATGGAGAAGATACATATAGATGGTAGTTAAATAGTTGCATGAGTCCTAGGGTCTATCTGAGGTTGTTGGTGGGTTATGGGACACTTCCTTAATCTTCTTAGTAATAAGAAACAGTTGAACAACCACCTACTTGAGTGATAAGTCAACTAATTTTCACTGACACTAATATTTTCAGAGGCTCTTACACAAAACTAGCCAATCAGCTTACAAGAAAGGAACTACAATAAATTCTGTTTCATTTCCGTGTCACTTTTACTTGCTTTGTTCCTGAGTACTGATTGGGTTCAATTTTGTTTACATGTTTGTGTCCTGTCATGGTATCATTAATTTTGTTTAACTGATTATAGTATTAGGGTGTGATTATAAAGCTTTTTGACAATACTGCTGAATGGCTCATGAAAATGTCTGTAATTGTATATTCTTTTTTTAGAGATGGGCTGAATCAGTCAATCATTGTCAGTGGTGAAAGTGGCGCTGGGAAGACAGTTAGTGCTAAGTATGCAATGAGGTACTTTGCATCAGTGGGAGGGGCCTCTACAGAGACGCAGATTGAAAAGAAAGTCTTGGCATCCAACCCTATTATGGAGGTAGAACAGCTTATAACTTGTTTAATTGGTTTAATACCATAGGTGCCAACCAGTTACAGTGGCACACTAACACATGATAATGATTTTCGAGGCTGTCTATTTTTACAGGCCATTGGAAATGCTAAGACAATACGGAATGACAACAGTAGCCGATTTGGAAAATACCTCGAAATATCTTTTGACAAGAACTATCACATCATAGCAGCCCACATGAGAACCTATTTGCTGGAGAAATCTCGAGTTGTATTTCAAGCTCCTGATGAAAGAAACTACCACGTATTCTATCAACTTTGTGCTGCATGTGATACTCCTGAACTCAAAGATCTTAGACTTGGTGAGTCAGAGTTGTCAGCTTACTCACTAGCTGGATAATGTCCACAGTGTTTAAATGGTTTGGTTGTGTGAATTTTGGGAAAAAAAGTGCTCTATCAAGCCACGTAGTCTATTTACAGATTTTTTTCTAAGGTCTTCAATTTGCTTTCAGCGCACCAAGACAACTTTTACTACTTAAACCAAGGAGAATGTCCTTATGTTGATGAGGTGGATGATGGTGAGGGGTTTGAGGAGATGCGAGAGGCCATGGATCTGGTGGGAATCATGAATGATGAACAGCTGATGATATTCAGAATCTTGGCTGGTATTCTGCACATTGGAAACATTGATATTCAACCAGCCAGTGAGGAAGAAAGTACAATTGACGTAAGGCTCTGCTCAGTGTTCTTTACATTGGTCATTTCAGTCATTTTAGGGCCTTTCCACACCAGCGAAAAAGTTGTTTATTTGGACAAATTTTCTGTCATCACCAACAGTTTGCAAGTGTGGATGGTTTGTCGTGACTTGACAAATTTTGGCTGAAGCGGCAATTCTTCAAATGCACTGTTGACAAAATTTGTCCCAGGTGAAAACTAAACAAAATCAACTAAATAAATGAAACCATGATAAACTTGTCAATCATGTGTGGTAAAAGCTGGGGCCAGCATGTAATTGAGCTGAAATCAGTGTACTAGAAAGACAAAAATTGTTTTTCGTTGCAAAATTCAAGGATTCTACAATTTTAAAAACCTGGAAATCGGTTGTGGAATCCTTTAGCCAACTATGCTGGCTGGTCTTATGAACAGATCAGGTGCTGCCAGAATTCGATGGCTTTGAAACTTTTAATGCAGATACAACAGACAAAACAAAAATTTTTCATGGCAAAATTTCTTTGATTTTCTTGGATAATTCTAGTTTTGTCCTCTAACTAGTGAGGAAAGGCCCCAACTCAGTGTCTAGTAAAAAAAAACTTAAAGTAGGAAAAAGAAATAAAAGGAACAGAAATGGGAAAGAACCTTCTGTTTTAAACTTGAAGGAAAAGGTTGCTGCACACTGACAATCAAACTGTCTTAGATCTTTTTGTGATCAGGAAGAAAAAAAAAAGACATCAAAATTTTGAATTGACAAGACTAAAACAAACAAACAAGAATATTAAATAGTTTTTTTTTAAATTGCTGATGCATCTACAGTTGTATTAACTTTTAGCTCAGTTGAATGCAACCCAGTAGTTCTTAACTGAGGATAATAGAGTTGATGAAAGGGACTATGAAAGGAGAAACAAATTCAGTTGGGCTGTATTGTGAGTGTTACATGACCTGCTTCCACCTAATGTAATATTGGTGGATCCAATTTCTCAAATGCATCTACTGGGTATAAAATCCATTTTTTTTCCTCTCTCTTATACCATCATTGCTAGGACAAAGATTTTCATCTGGCAGTAGCAGCTGACCTGTTGGGTATTGACAGAAGCCAGTTTAAAAAGTGGTTGTGCAATCGCAAGATTGTCACAGTACAGGAGGTGCTCATCAAACCACTGAATGTTGAAGAGGTCTGAGAAAACATTTTTTTCAAAATCTCACTTTATGTTTCTGACTGAATTATAGAGAAATTTAATCAAGTAAATATGTGCCATTACATTGAAGGTAATAATTCTGTGGTTTTTGCTCCTGTTTGTAGGCTGATTTTGGCAGAAAAGCAATTAGCAAGCACATTTATTCTCAGCTGTTCAAGTGGATTGTACAATGCATCAATAATTCTCTCAGCTGTGGAGTCAAACAGCACTCGTTTCTTGGAATTCTTGACATTTATGGGTAAGGCCCAAGCTACAACCTTACATGCTTGAATGTATTTTATAGGGAATAGTAGGTTTTTTAGGCAGAGTTGATCAATAAAAAGCAAAACACATGGGATTTTACAACAAAGAGAAGCTAGAAATGCCATCAAAAGTGAGTGGTTAGCCAAGTCAGCTCAGCCAGTTGAACAGTTTTACTGTTGAGAGCAGTGTTAGTTTGATGTGATGTTATTTATAACCAAAAACAATTAAACAAAAAAACTGGGTCATACATTACACATTGCATAAAGTGTAGCTATAGGTTCAACTTGCAGGGTAGTTCAGAGCTGTGGCATGTACATGTTGTACAGGACACTTAGGTTTACCCTTTTCAATACCTCTTACTCCCACTTTGTGAGAATGTGTTTTTTTTTTTCCCAGGTTTGAAACTTTTGAGGAGAACAGTTTTGAACAGTTCTGTATCAACTACGCCAATGAAAAACTCCAGCAGCAGTTCACGCAGGTAATCATCAGCATCATTAGATTTCTCGTTTCCAGTTTGAGTCACCTCTCTTACTTTTTCGTTATTGTGCTTCCACATGTAATGCTTGCTTAATTATTCATTCAGCATGTTTTCAAACTGGAGCAAGATGAATATGTGAAGGAAGAGATAGAGTGGTCATTCATCAACTTCTATGATAACCAGGCTTGTATTGATCTGATTGAAGCAAAACTGGGAATACTTGACTTGCTTGATGAAGAGTGTAAGGTGAGACAAACTGAGATACTATTTTGTTTGTGTGAGAAATGATCTAGATATAATGATGTAAGGGAGAAGAAGCAGGTGTCAGATAGAATCACCCAGGGTCATAGTGTTTAGCTAATTTTTTTAAAAATCAAAATGGCTGCCAACTGCCAAAATTGCAGATGATGCCATGCCCCCAGCAATACCACACTCCATAATTTTAGCCATAGAGTGCTCTTTGGTTGAGTGTCAAAATATAAAAAAGGAAGTACACTTGTAAACACAATAATCAATTGTAGCAAAGCAAAATATCTCAATGAACAAGTGAACTCAAGGTTAAAACAAGCAAAGTACTTGATGTGCAGGAATGTGTGTGAGCAAGTTACAATTAGACTGCTCTTTTATCACATGTTATTTGCAGATGCCAAAAGGAGCTGACAGTTCATGGATCCAGAAACTGTACAAACATCACATGAAGAAGGAGCACTTCAGCAAGCCACGCCTGTCACAAACAGCCTTTATAGTGCATCATTTTGCTGATGATGTGGAGTATGAAATCAAAGGCTTTGTGGAGAAAAACCGAGATTCCGTTAATCAGGAACATCTAGCCATTCTTAAAGCTAGTGAGGTATGTAAGGAAATTGGAATGTTATCAAAGAAGCTCTTTAATTTTTAAACAAATTCTCTTTGTCAGCACCTTAGGAAATGTATAGAGAACAGTATGGAGAATGTGCATACTGATGTTGGGGTTACGGATGTGATTTAAATGCTCAAATGCTTAAACATAACAAGAGGTTTATTACACCAGTATATGATTTTTTTGTCATCAATGAATAAAACTCTGAGGGTAAGGCAGTTAGTGGGCTAACTCCAGATTCCATGTACTGATGAAATATTTAATTTGCCATCACATTGATAAATTGAGAGTTTTTGCATTTAAACTAAAGCCTTTCTGCAATAACATCTTTGAAATTCTAATCCTTGTTGAAATGAGGTAATTGCAGCACTGGCTATGATAATCTTACTCGTTAGTACTCTATGTAGCGTTGAACAGCTCTAAATTCTAAACTATTGAAATCTTTAAAAATCTTTCTGAACCATATTTGTTCCTTGCACAGTATGAACTGGTGGCACAAGTTATTGATTGCACACATAATGTAAGTGAAAAAAAGGTATAAATCAAAATTAATTTTAAAATTAACATGATTTAGTCAGCTTAATCTAAATATTCAGTAAATGCTACCTTTAAACATTTCTCAGTAGAACTAAAAATATAAGCAAAATATTCGGAAAATCTGTTGAAATTCTGGGATATAACCTACGGTAAACCAGCAATACTCATGGTCGCCCCAGATTAATAAAGAATTGATAAATACTCGGTTTAGTTGACCATTCTGTCTTCGCTGGAGACTTAACCTCGACGGCATTAGACCAAACTTCAATTTCAGTTGAAAGTAACGTAACGAGCTGTTGTTATGTTGCAGTATGAGATGGTTGGAGACTTATTCTCTGAGAATGAAGCTCACATGATGCCGCGTAAGCGATCAACTTCTAGAGCTGGAAAAAATGTCTCCAAATCCAAGCGGAGTGTTGGATCAGAGGTTTGTTACCTTATTCAGTCCTACCAGAGGTCAACAACTACTTTCTGACCAGAAGGGAATCTAAATCTAGTTTGTAGAATGTGTGAACAAATTGTGCACTTATTAGGGATGATTACTAAATAGTTATTTTTGGGCGATTTTGAGCCAGATATCCCGATTTGCTCAAGGCCATTGAACCTCAAGAATCTGGCAATGTCAGTATGATTTCATGGTATCATTCGATTATGGGTTTTCATTATTTTTTACGGGAATCTCACCGAGGGAAGCTGATTCGCCATTTTCCATGCAAGAGCATGGACACAACTACGCATGAGTTGAATGTCATGAACAGTAAAACAAAACTTGACTGTATTACGCAAGAGCAGACCATAAATTGTTGGCGGTTATTTGTAGGTTACATGATTGGCTGTCGGTCAATAAAAAGATAAAAATTGATTGCTAATAATTTTGTGAAGATGTCTATTTAGTAGTTTAGTAATTTGAAGAAGAATGCGGTGGACAAATCTTATGTTGCTTGCGAGGATAACCACATCGTTTTGCGACTTTTTTTCTAGTTTCGTGAATCGCTGTCGAAGCTTATGGCTACCCTGAACAGTACAGTGCCTCATTACATTCGCTGCATTAAACCCAATGACCGCAAAGCACCGTTCGAGTTTAACCCACAGAGAAGTATTCAGCAGCTCAGAGCTTGCGGAGTACTGGAAACTGTACGAATCAGTGCCGCGGGCTACCCCTCACGGTGGAGCTATGACGAGTTCTTTAACCGTTACCGCATGCTTCTGAAGTTTGAGGCTATTAACAGAAGAAAGCCACGAGCCTCGATAGAATTGATATTGAAGACGCACATAAAAGTAGGGGAAAATTGTAATCTTTCTAATGTGTTTGCTCGCACCCGAAGGTGATTGCTATCGCCCGATATGTTAAACTACGCCACTTTCCTGAATATGCCTCGGCTACAACTGAGGAATGTCTTTCTTGTTTTAACAATGAGAGGCACTGAGAGAACACCACTTAATAGTTGCTTTTTGCTACTCGTTAATCCAAGAGATATTTGGGCTCAGCCTTGAACTCAAATTGCCTTTTACAGCTGCAACTGATTTAGAAAAGACGTTGTTTATGACTTTTTGATAACTTGTTTAAGAGGCCTGGAGACCAAAATCATTTTGATTGATCTGTTTTTCAAATCAACCTCAATTTTATTTGCGCTGAATGTTGTGTGAACAAAAGACGTATGTTTGGGTCTTGTTAGTGGTGTTTTAAAGGTAGTTTAAATCCCTTGACTTTATAAATGAATGCGGAAATTTGAGTTGTTGAAAAATTTTCTATCCATGTTTGGTGTAGGACCCTGATAAGTTCCAGATGGGAAAAACGAAAATCTTCTTCCGTGCTGGCCAGGTAAGGTTATCTGTAAATATATTGAATTTACAAACTACAATACAGATTAAAATTTCTTTGTTTGTTATGACAAGAGAGTTATGAACGCTAATCGGCTTCTTCACGGGGTTGTGTCATAGTTACTGATAGTAAAGATTTGAAAAAAATGAGAAAGAAAAAACAAAAAAAAACGAAAATCAAGTCAACCTAAATAGTGGACCAAAATTTAAGCCCAGCCTTTTGAATGCTAGTTGAGTGCAACAGCCAACTGAGCAACGAACCCGAAGATAAATGTTTGGTTATTTTATCAAAGTTTTTCCTTGACTAGATTTTGAAACTGGGCTGAGGTTTAGAGCCATATGACCTCCACCACTGGTGCTGATAATTTATGGTATCATGAGAGGTGAAACTGATAATTGTCGATTAAGTCTTTCACTCTAAACATCTCGTTAGCAAATCTCATTACTGTCTGCCATATATTTTCCCACGATGTTAGTTTGAAGAATTTGGTTTTGTTTCAATTAACGATCCCCTAATTGATTTTTTCCTTTATTTTATAACTTGTTTGCTTTATATTGTATGAATAGTTAAGGGAAAATTCTGTCTTGGTTACCCTCGGGTGTCAAATGGTTTAAACCGTTAAAAGAAAGACATAAAAGGAAGATATAAAAGAAAGAAAGACATGTGGCCTTAGTTTGCATTTGCCGATTTATAAACTACTGTTGTTTCATTTCAAAGACAGTTCAATGCCAATGTGTTTCACTTTTAGGTGGCTTATCTGGAAAAACTCAGATCAGACAAGCTTCGAGACAGTTGTATCATGATTCAGAAGAATTTCCGCTGCTGGAGGGAACACCGGCTCTACCTGAGAATGAGGCGGTCTGCGATCCTAATACAGGCCTGGGTACGAGGCTATCTGGCAAGGAGGTTTGTGTAGAAATGAGATTCCCGAAAGAAGTGTTTTTATTTACCAGAGGTTCGAGAATAGAGAAAATTCCACTGCTTCCATGCGAAGCCAAAACTTAACATTTTCAAATGAGTTCAAGCCTCACATTCTTACACGGTCTGTCCAATTCAAATATTTTGAAAATTGGAACCCTATTTTGAACCTTCGGATTTTTACCTGAGGAGCAAATTTTTGAAGCGAATAAAGAAGATGGCTTTAGGATAGGTTATTCTGTGAATCAGGCCCTAAAGGTACTACTTAAAACAATTAACATGAATTAAAACCCAATGATGTCACTTTCAAGCACATATCCACAATAGGAGATTTCTCTGCTACTGTCCCATCCCACGCCCCTTGTTGATTGTCAGGATCAATTGAAATCCAGAGTGATTCTTTTAAACTGACTTTATTGCTTTTCTTTTGCGAAAAGAAAACTTTGAGGGTCTTTACAATCCGCGCGTATAACCAAGTTGTGGGGCGGAGTTTACATCAGAGTAGTAATACTGTTATATTGGAAATAGATCCATTGGAACAGCCTTTTAGGGAGCACATAGGAACTAGCATAATTGACCCTAAATAAAGTTGCCGCCTCCTGACGGTAACAAAAAGTAACCTTATTTTTAATTGCGTGTCCCAGAAAAGTGGTCTCCGAAACAAGCTGTTCCAAACGTAATTATGTAAAACATATTTACCCTACTTCTGTCTCATCTCAGTACCTCAGAGTAGTAACTCCAATGACGCTGGAATTCGTTTTGTTTTTTTCTTTAAGACTTGCACAGGACCTCAGAGAAAAGAGAGCTGCGATAACCATCCAGCGCTACTACCGTGGTTTTGTCTGCCGAAAGCAGTTTGTGACTATTCGGGCGGCCGTCGTTATAATCCAGTGCTTCACTCGGGGTATGTTCGCAAGAAGACTTCGCATGCAATTATTGTACGAAGCTAAAACGAAGATCATCCAGCGGTGCTGGAGAAGATACAGAGCGAGAGAGAATTACAGAAATTACAAAAAGACGATTGTTTACCTTCAGTCGTGTGTGCGCAGGATGATCGCTAGACGAGAACTGAAGCAGCTTAAGGTAATTCATGTTGAAATGAGAGGAAATTTGAAAATCAGTATATTTTTCGTAATCTTTGTCTTATATTTGTGTGCGCACAAGTAGTTGCTGTTTATAGACGACAACAGATCATGGAAAAGAAAGAAAGATGTGTAGTTTTGCAGTGGTCGTGCAAGTTGTGACAAATTAATGCAGTTGGAATTACTCGGGAAGCTAACTGGCCGAGAAGAATTTAGCCATTTTGATATCACTACTTTGTTGATCATTAAAGCGCTACCTGAGTACATTTGCACAAGCCGTCATACTTACGCATGAAAGATGAAACTGTGACCTTCAACGGTCGCCAGCAGCGGAAGCAAATCTCATACATACTGCACAATTCCACTTCGTAGTTTTCTGTGGAAAGTTAGTCTTTTGTTCCAGTGACAGAAAGGAAGAGAACCAATTTTACTTTTTTGTGTTCAGTGGGAGAAATTTTGTTATAAACGCTTTCTTTTTCTTTAGATCGAAGCGCGCTCTGTGGAACATTATAAGAAGTTGAACATAGGAATGGAAAACAAGATCATTCACTTACAGCAACGCCTTGATGAACAGGTATGTATTTTTATTTGTTTGGTTTGTTGATTACCTGCCTGCCTCTCGTCCATGTGGTGATCTCAAACTTTTGCAAACTCAGAGAGAAGTGTCTGCTTTTGCAGATTGTTTAAGAAATATGTAATGAAATAATTATGAAATCGGGTTTCGCATGATATCAAGAATTATCAAACCTCGTGTCTGTGTTATCAGACCTCGGCATTGATAATTCATGATATCACGCTCAACCTCATGCAATAAGGGCTTACAATCTTACCTAACTAAGATATTTGTTCTTATCACTAATTTCATATCTATATGATTCAATTATTCAGTACTATGATTTGATATACTTTACCGTTTGTTCCTTTTTATAGGTTAAAGAAAAAGAACAAGCAATGGTTGCCGGGCGAGAACTTGAAGCTACACGGAAAGAACTGGAACAAGCCAAGCAGTGGAAAGGACAGTTTGAATCGACGCAGTCCAAAATGCTGGAGTTGGAACTTGTCATCAAGGAACTGCGAGAGGAACTGAACATGGCCATTGTGGAGAAAGATGGCACCGAGGAACGCGCCAAAACAGAAAAGGAGGAGCTAGAAGAGGTTTGAATTTGGAAAATAATTTAACCTAACTTTGAAATATTCAGCGCATATTGAGGGGAAATCTGTCTCACAAGAAATTAGCGAGTTTTAGATTTATGTTTGTTTGTGAAGACGTGTGACCGCAAAGCTCTAGGAGTCATGTGACCAGGCTCTGGCGGCCACGTTTGCCGTTTGTGGTCCACGTTTGAATTTCGGGCAACAAAGTTTCAGGAAGTTGTACTTTCTCGGCGCTCTCCGTCTTCGAGTTCGAAAGTTCTCACATATGTCCGGTAAATATGTGTTAGATGAGGTCTTTTTTTTTCTTTTTTTCTGAAAAACCAAACTTTTAGCCGCATTTTGTGTTTGAGGTGAAGGAACTCTATCCAGTCTGTAATTCAAGATGGCGGCGCACATGTTGATTTTCATGGATTTTTATAGTTGAAAGCCGAAGGCGTGATAAAAAGCTGAAAATCTCAAAACATTTGACTACCAACCTCAAACCACTAACTACGGTTTGAGGTGAACATATCAAACGTGGATCTAATTCTCTCTCTACTTATTTGTAATGCTGTCACTTACATATTTGAATTTGTGCATTTGTTATAGATAAACAAGAAATTGAAAGAAGAATTGGCAAACCTAACGGAAGAGCTTGCTGAAGCAAAGGCAATTTCTGACAGAGAGGTCTCTCTCAGGGATGGTATGTGCTTGAACGAGTCCAAAATAACTTAGTCTTGAAATACTCAGAAAATTCGTAGAAAAAGAAAGGGGGTGAAGTGAGGGTAGTGGAAACAGATTGCAAGTCGAGCTACTAGTCAGTCAAATCATGCTCTTCTTCATATATGTTTGCCACCTCTGTCTGTTATTTGAAAAACAGTTTTGTAGTCTAGAAGACAAAAAAAATTATTAGTAGCGTGAGTTTTTCGGTGGTGGCTCGGCGCTAAACTACAGGATCGCAAACAAATGACTCAATTCAAACTTAGCATGATTATAAACCCCAATTCACTAAAAGAAAACCCTCTGGCTACTCGATTGTGGTCCAAGAATTAAACTTGAAGCTTTAGAGAGACAAAAACAGCCGGTGGTCAAACGAGGACTGTAAGTTAGGACTTCTTGGGTCTCAGTCGCTGACTCCTGGGTTCTGTCAGTCTTCCGGGAGCTAGCGATCAGATACGAGAAAACCATCGTTACACCGAAACTTTCAACAGAAGTCAAGTTTCCTCTGGCTTTTTATTAATTTGTTTGTAGTTGCATACCCTAATTTTATTAAAGGAGATAACTTTCTAAAGAAACTGTGGTGCTGTTTCGGTGGGGCATTACAAGATAATGTGGTTTGATCAATTGGGTTGAAAATGTAACTTGGCTACCGTCAAGAGTTTCTAAAGCTGACTTTTCGCGTGTTTTCGAGTGTTGGCCATTTCAGTTTGTCGTTTTTAAAACCCTTTACCAGAAATAATCTGTCATTTTCTCGTTGCCTTTAGAAATCATTAACCAAAGCCTTGAAGCCCAGAGACAACAACTTCTGGCGGAATTTGAAGCTGAAAGAAGCAACCACCAGAGAGTTTTACGAGATTACGACCGACTGGAACAACGGTATCAGAATTTACAGGATGAAGTGGAGATTGAAAAATTCAGTCCGGTTGCTAAAAGAGAGTCTAATGGCCCTATAAGTGCTAGTGGTTCAGGTGCGTTATTTTGGATGAATTATATGATATTAGCATAGTTGTGCCGGTGATTATAGAGGTGCACGCGCTTTGATTGGTCGAATATTGTGTCCTATCTCGCTATAATCACCTCGAACAAGGTGATTATAGCAGGAGCGCAAAATTTCAAACTGGCTGCCTGGCGTTTTGTTATTGTTACCGAGGAAGTGATGAACGCGATGGAGAAAATGCTACTCCAAAGAGCACAAAAGATGCTTTTAAGTTAAGAGTAACATTTTTGAAAATAAAGATTTAAGTTTTTGCTGATTGAATTAAATGAATCTATCAAATTCTAGTGAAAACTGGCTCTTTATCTTGATTCGAGTAATCAAAACAATTGAAACTGAAGGGTTTCAACAAGGTAACGAATATTTACAACAGAATTTGAAATCACCTTAGGAATTATGGTAAAACAAATATTCGCCTCGGGCTCCGTGAGTATTGTTGAGTAATCCTCGACTTCGTCTGGGGGATTATTTAACAATATTTACTTCACCATCGGCGAATAATTGTCAAATATTTCAATAGCGTTCCATGCCGTCGTGGATCAAGAGCCTTGTTTGCTTAAAACATTTTTTTGTGGAAACTACATGTATTTTGAAGTCCATCTCCAACTTTCACGTTTAAAAAATCAGCATCAAATCATTAGAGTCGCTGTCATCAAATTCTTTAACGTGTATTTGTTTTACCAGGATTTACGATTGATATTTATTTCATTTATTCAGTTTACTTTAATTTACTTATTTGTGATACCTGTTAATAAGCTGGCAAGCCGCTACAGTCGTTGGCACAGCGTGGTCTGCGGTAGCTAACTCAAAGAAGCTTACTGCTTTCGTACTATAAAACTTCATTGTCTTTGGCACTCTCGATGTTTTTAGCTCGTGCGCCGCTCATTAATCGACAGGTGAATTTTTCACTAAGCAGATTGTGTTAGGTACTACATTGAGGATAATTCCAACCTTTGGGCTGGGCATAATTCTGATTTATTTCAATGACAGAAAATTCTCTAGAAGATGCCGATGAGAGGGAACAGCAACAAGATGAAAACGTGGAAGTTGGAATTAAAAAGAACAAGTTCGTTCAAGGACTTAAAAAAAGAATACGCGAGCTAGAGGACAAATTAATGGAATCTGAACAGATTCAAGCGAATGGCGATATACCCCGTATTACGGTAGAGACATCATTGGAACAGAAACCACCAAGTGAAAATCAGGTTATCGAATCTGAAAAATTTCAGCAAGTCTTACATGAGAGAGAACAATTGGAACAAGAGAAAAGTAGCCTCGAGAAGCAAAACAAAAAGATAGATTCTGAACTTGAACTTCTTAGAAAACTCGTAAGTCAAAGAAATATTGATAAAAAGGCGGAATGGGACATGATAAACGAGAGAATGGATGAGATATCAGCCGAACGCGACCAGATAAAGAATGAGAAGAACCGACTGAGAGAAGAACTTGTAAGAATGGCTTCTGTCGCTAAGGACATGCATAATATAGAGGAACTGTTACGAACCAATCCTGATGAAAGCGCTTACGTACTGCAGGCGGAGAGTTTGAAGAAAGCAAACAACGTTCTGCAGAATGAACTGCACGACTTGCTTCAGAGCGAAAAGGAATTGAAGGCAGCTAATGACAAGCTTTGGAAGGAAAAGGCACAGTTGCAAACGGTATGTTCTAACTCTCTCAAAGGTACGTTTTAACTCTTTGAAATAAGCAGCAGGAATTTTGCTCTCGAATGCTTACTTAGTAAATGTGGTCAATTTTAGTTGCACTGCCCAGCAATAGATTGTCTGGTAAAAACTTCGGCCAGCAGAGGAAATATAGGTCTGAAGTTCTCGGAATCAGCATTCCAAAGGTCATGAAGTCAACTCTTGAACGACACTTTTGTAGCACTGTCGCCGATCTCCTTTTCTTTGCTTTGTCTCACGCCCGCGAGAAATTGGTTCTATCATCTTTTGACGTTTCCAATTTTATTTGTAGATTATGTTCCTACTTTATTTATGATTTGAGTATGATTATGGCTGGCCAAAATGTTTATATCCTGTTTTAGGGGCGTGGTGCGTCCTTGTCATCTATGGATGGGAATTTCAATCAAGAAGTTGGTCGTCTGGTAACAGAGAACGTGGTAAGTCGATAAATTTTTTTTTTCTTTTTTTAGCCTGTTGCTCTAACTGGAATATTTGCGTTGGTGTTGTCGTAGTTTTACCAAAAAATAGCGCAGAGCTCGTATAAAAGCACTTTTTTTTTCAGGAACTCCGCGAACAAGTTGAAAAACTCGAGGCAGAGCTGGAAGAGTACAAGAAAGGTGGAACAACAGCGCTGACTCCATTCCGAGGAAGAGCACAGTCGTGGAGAGGTCAGCTTAAGAACAGTTTTATTGCAAAGGTGTCTTTGTCAGTTCTACTGAATTGGTTGGTAACTGTTTATTTTGTAGGTGAAGTGGAGCAGAAACGGAGAGCTCAAAGTTTCTTATCTGGTCAAGAACCAAAAGCTGGAAAGGTGGTAAGATCAGAAAAATCTCCTGACTGAATTTTTCACTGTTTTCTTCGGTCTGGGGAAATATTATTAGTAGCTTATTGGGAAGACCAAAATAATTGCCCTTACAGCCGGGCTTGCAAGCATGTTGCCCAAGGTTCCCTTGGAACAGCCCTTAAAAAAAAGAACAAAAGTTAAAACAACAAAGACACAGAAAGAAAAAAAACGTAAAACCAAAACACAAACAACCAAAAAAACAGAAAAAAATCAGTTATTTTCAGAGAAATGATGTTCAACCCTTACCAATGTTACACTGAAAGGCTATACACCTTTATCAAGCGAAATTAAAGTGGTGAGAATTTATCTTTCGTCAACTTCCCTTCAAATGACTTCGAATGACTTTGAGATCGAAATGTATTGCAGCCGCAAGGCGAGATGAAGAGCCAGGATTTCGAAATAAGAATCCTGCGTCGTGACCAGTGAGCTGTTAGATGCGCTTGTTATTAGCGATCGACTTTACCTTTCGATTGAAGACTCAGCCAGCAGTTTTTTACCTATGAAATATTTATTCATTTCATTTCCATAACACTGGATTCAATGAATGAATGTAATGTTATTTTTATAATATGTTTTTTATTTTACTTTTGGCACAAGCTGTTAAACGCACATGGTTATGTTTTGTTTGTTTTTAGTAACTCAGATTTGGTTATATGTAATAGCGAGATTCTTCCTCATTTATTCGCGTTATAACTGGCGGTTTTGAACGAATTTGCCAGATAAAGAAAGGCTCTACTCTGGTGTGCTCGGTTCACCTCAAGCCCAAGGATATGTATAAGACTATAACTGGGCTTACACGTCTAAAACATCGCAGTTTGCACGAACCAAGGAGGGTAAAGACCGCCGGCAAAACAAATTGCAAGTGTAAAAACATTTTGCGGACCAGCAACCAGAAGATAAGTGACGTCAGTTCTTTTTCAATTCAATCCGTTTCAATTGATATAAAAAACTGCCGGCCGAGTCTTCAATCGAAAGGAAAAGGCGATCGTTGATAAAACGTGCATCATTCGAAGAAAAATTGAAGAAAGATAAATTGTCACCACTTTTATTTCGTTTGTCGTTACTACAGAAATTAAAGCAGCAATGATCGTGGGCCATGCTTAACACAAAACCTAAACCTTATGCCCGTCCAGTCTCGATTTTGTGCGCCACGCAACCCAAGATGGCGCTGCGTGATAAAGGTGTATTGAAGAATATATTGTGCCTAATACTTGTGACTCTTTTGGTTTACCGGCATCTAGTCCTAAACATTCACTTAACATTTAATCAATTGATTCCTCCAGGTTATGAGGCATGCTGGACTGCTCAGGAAATCCTCGCATGCGCACAAGGAAGGGGTAGTTATTCTGTTGACTGTTTGCTTTGCTGGTTTCTTGTTGATATATTTTAACTGAAGTTAGTAATCAATGTGGTGTAGTATTTGTTATCGATCACAGTTGGCGGTTTTGGTGAAATTTTTCACCTTAGCCCGTGCGAAAAATCATATCTTCTCGTGTCTCCGGCCGACCCAAAAATCTTAACGTGTGCGAGGAAACTGCTCTAAACCGACGTTTGATGCAAAGTTTTTCAAAGAATAAGTGACATGATAACCAAGTATAGTCTGCTAGCAAACGCGCGAAAGAATGCAATGGTTAGTAACGATGTTGTTGGATGTCACGTAATTTGTCACGTAATTAATGTTGAACTACGGTTGAATTATCGTAGTCACTTCTGTAGGTAGTAAATAATGCTTTGATTTTTATGTTCACTTTGGTAGGATCTTCTTCCTCCTCTGCCGCAATTAAGACAACACAAAATCCGTGGAATGATTGAATTTTCAGGCGAGGACGAAGAAAAAGTTATCAAATTCCTTATCACTGATATGAACCCCAAATCCATGGCAGATGCTATTCCAGGACTCCCCGCGCACATCCTGTTCATGTGCATCAGGCATTGTGATCACGTGAATGATGACCGGCGTATGCAGAGTCTGCTGACTAACAGTATAAACAGCATTCGAAAAGTAGTCAAGGTAAATAGTGAATCAGATAACTCTTATTTAATTGACTATCGGAAAAAAAATCCTCCAATTACTTCATTAAGCGTTGTATTTGATATTGAAACTTGCGCAACAATGTACATACTCAACTAACTGGATGTAAGACTGAAACCAATCACTTCTTGGTCACTTGCATTTACCTGAACTGGTAGGTATTTTTTCTCTTTGAGTTGTTTCTGACTCTGAGATATTTTATTATTGGGAAGGTTCTTTCAATGACCACTAGATCGTTACTTTCAATTGTTGTAACCTTATTTATTATGATTTACCCTACAAATCATGCCTTCAAAGAAAAATGTTCCAGACAGAGCTTTTTTTATCTCCCCAGTATCTTTTTTTACTATTTTTTTTTGCCAGAAATTTCTTTACATGTGCATTGTCCTTCAGTAGAAGAATTGTGAGTTCAGTTTACCCGCTTTTCTAAAAAAGCGACATTCTTAGACGAATGACATGAGAGAGGAAAGAAAGTTATGTATCTACTGTACTCGGATTAAGCTTGATATAGATCCGTGATCCTTACATTGAAAAAAAAACTGGTTTCCTTTTGATCAACAGAAAAACCCCAATGATCTTGATATCTTGGCATTTTGGCTGGCAAATACGTCGCGCCTTCTTCATGACATGAAGCAGTACAGCGGAGATAAAGTAAGTTTATTCATAGTGTCAATAGGGTCAATCACCGACCGCTGGTCGCACATGGAGCCCACGCCCCCTTCCCGACCCTACTCAAGAATAAGGTCAAAACCCGAGCCTACAGCACTGAAGTTCACTTTTAATATGATAACCAAAGGCCTAACTACTCACACTTCTCGTATCTGTTTTTTTTTTAATTTTTTTAATTTAATTTTTTTGTTCAGTTTTGGTAAAGAGCGCTTTATTTTTGTTTAAATACACTCAATCTCCATCATTCAGAAGTTTTGTATCTTTTGTTGCCACAGTTGTTGTTGTTGTTGGCGATGTTTTATGATAAATAAGCTGTAACTACCAAACTAACACCGTTGCATTTTTGCATGTAATGCCATAGATTATAAAAAAGCCGATTTCCATCTGTTTCTATTAATTTCAACGCCTTTCCTCCAAAGATGTTTCGTTTTAGAAGAATTTCATCTTTAATTAAAAGGAAAAGAATATGAATGGTTTTGCGCTAAAAGTTTGCGCCAGACCTCGCTTTGAAACCGAGGCGGAAATACAGTTTGAAATAGCGCCAGCCTTTGATTTACAAGAATTCGAGCCGTAATTGACATGCATGAAAAAAAGACGAAAAGTTTCCCTGCATATTATAGAGAATTTGCCACAAATTTGCTCTTTTCTTCTCGAAGTATTGATCAATGATTAACATTATTTTACCGATCTTCCTTGTGTTCTTCATCAGCATTTTCTTTTGAGGTCACAGTGGTGTAACTTTGTGATGTGACTTTCAGTGTCTAACTTCTGACTCTTCTCATTCATTCTCGCTTTGCTCACTGAAAATTCTTCAGTGGTTTGTAAGACGACCCGATGAAGAGGGACTGTCCGCATCTCTGTTAAAACAGTGGAGTAATATGAAGGATTACATCAAAGATGTTAGTTTGCCACCAACCTTTCTTATTGTGCACTTCGTGGTTTGTTTTTCTGAATGCTGAATGCACGCTTGTATCTGCACCATCTGGTTTCTTTTTCCTTCTTTATACTCAAGGCGAATTTCGTTGTCACATTTTGTGAGACAATTTTCTCTGAATGTCTTTTGCTCATCTTTCTTCTCTGCTAACTTGATTCATCTTTTATGTTCTTTAATTACTTGTTTATGTAACACTTATGACCACAAATGTTTATTTTTTTCTGTTATTTAATCATTTTTACTTCTATATTTATTCGTTTGTGAATTCTGGCTAATGTTTATTTTGCATTATAGTTTCGTCACCTTTTGTTTACGTTTGTTTGATGCTGTGGCTGCAACGTACAAAACCATTATAGTGTTCGTCATCGTTCCTTACTTCTCTGTGACTTATAATTGTCATTTTTGTCTTGTCACCATGATCAGAAAACTCTTTTTTTTTTCATTACGGAACATAAATGGGAAAATCTTAGCTCATACATTAGAAATGAAGAAACACCCTAAACGGTTAAATCTCCAGAGAGCCCTTAGATTCTGACTTTCAAGTTGTTTTGAGTTCGATATGGTGTGCTGCAAGTGTTAAGAAGGCTTTTTTAATTGATGATCCGCGTTAAAAGTAGGCACTTCTGTTCCAAAATAGTCATCAGCTAATTAACTAATTGAATTGAAATCCTTAAAATGTACACGCTTGTCTGTTTTTTTCAGGCGTTTCAAGTGCAAAACACTCCAGAACAAAACGAACACTGTCTGAAAAACTTTGACCTGACAGAGTACCGGCAGGTGCTGAGCGACCTGGCCATACATGTCTATCAAGATTTAGTCAAGTGTATATGGGAAGCTATACAACATATGATAGGTAAAATGACTTGTCACAATGATCCTATTGGAGTGATAATCAAATAGTGACTCAGTAGGCTAATTGGTGGTGCCATGGTTCAACACACAGGTGGGGTAGTTCAAGAAGAGAACACTTCCCTCTCTAAGCTCTCATCCTCCCCGGTTCCCCCTCCCCATCCCCCATCCCTCAGAAGTCGAAATGAGTACCAGAGAGCTGTCAGGGAAACCTGATAAATTGTTTGTGGGGAGGGGGGGACCTACGAACCTGGAATTGACTTGCAATCCAGGATATGTTACAGCAGCCTAATTTCTTGAGAATCGGTCAGTATTTGACAACGAAGTATGTCAGTAAAATGGTTTACGACCGACTGCCGTCCAATTCGTTCGTTGATAATCCGATTACTAACTGATCCTGGGCTTTTAGACCTGATCTTCTTGTTACTCTATTCAGATTGATTTCGTTTGGTTTAGAGAAAAGTAAGAAAGTTTTGTAGCTTTTTTTTATTAAATGAAGTAGCAAAACAATCAGAGATTGATTTGAACAACACAGAATCCTTTTGCCAATTATATCTAGTTATAACTAGTTAAGCTTGCTTCACACTTGCGACACAAGGACATAACAAGAAAAACGAAAAAACGAACAGATGACTTGTTTTCTTTATATCACTGTCTGTTTAGTTTCGCTTCTAATACCTGACTTAGTCGACCTGTTCACGCCTCTGTACGATGAAATAATTACGTTCTTATGTATTTTTCCCTTGTGTAGATAGTGTGAACGGTTCATACCGATGTTGCTATTTTCTTTTTATGTCTGCGTGTTCACATTACTAACTTGATAACATAATAACCTTCTCGCGTTGTCTTCTCATGCCATTATGTCGTTGTTTGTTATTTGCAGTGCCTGGAATGCTTGAGTACGACTCAATTCCAGGCGTGTCCAGTTCCAAACCATTCGGTGGGCGATCCAAAGCTCATGCTGACATCACAGTGAAGTCTGTCACAAAGATGGTGGGTAAATTCATAAGAAAATATCACAAAAGTACTTCCTTCATCCAGTCTTAAGTTTTCTACACGGCCATTTGTGAAAGTTTTGCATTGCCTGATATCATCATGGGGTTAATGAGTATTACTAAAATTGCTCCTCACATTTGTCTATCTTTTGCTATTCTACGTAATTTGTTGTACATTTGCCTAAAATTCCGACAAGAACAAAAGTTTTCTACACGACCATTTGTGAAAGTTTTGCATTGCCTGATATCATCATGGGGTTAATGAGTATTACTAAAATTGCTCCTCACAGTTGTCTATCTTTTGCTATTCTACGTAATTTGTTGTACATTTGCCTAAAATTCCGACAAGAACAAAAAACTTTGATTTGACGGTTTTTCTTTTGTCAAGTTCCCATCTGATGGCGCTAAAATGCGCCTAGTAATTAGATTTAAAGATTGCAAGTATATTTTGATTTCAGCTTTCAAACTTCCTTGCCATACTTAATGCCCACTGTGTGGATCCAGAAATCATCAAACAGGTTTTTAGACAGGTAAGTCTGGTTGACTAGGTTTTATCATTAGTTTCTTGCATTCTGGTTTTTGTTGATGTTTCCTTTGCCGATTTCTTTCAACAATACTTTGTTGACATTGTTGTTGTTGTTTTGTTTTACATGATAACTTAGCTCTTCTATTACATTGGTGCCAACATGATGAACAACCTTCTGTTAAGGAAAGATATGTGCCATTGGTCAAGGGGAATGCAAATCAGGTCCGTCATCAAAATAGAACTTTGCTTTTATACTGAAATACCAAACTGAATTGTAATGCAAAAAGCTCATCACCAAATTCAAATTTCTCCAAAGAAAATGACAAAACAAGAATGACAGAATCCATGCATACTAACAGAACATTTGCACCTAAATCTTATTGTTAGAAAAACTTTCTACCTGGTAAGTGAGGCATAGTCAAAGAGGGAAATAAAGAAAACCTAAAGTTTTACGTATTTTTTTCCGTTCCTTAGATTTAACCTCAGCCAGTTGGAGGACTGGGTCCGGCTGAACCAACTGGAGGGCAGCGGTATTGTGGAAGCTTTGGAGAATGTCACACAAGCGACACAATTACTTCAGGTTAACAAAAAAACGTTGGAAGACGTGGACGCGATTTGTGAAGTCTGTAGTTCTCTTAATACCTTACAGGTAAGATAACTGCTCTACTTACCAGCTGAGATAAGATAACCGCTTCAGGTGGATTTGTAGTCGTCGTTTGTTTGTTTTGTTAAGTAAACGGTGGAAATTCAAACAATTGTGAATTCGTGTGTTTGACTTAAGAAGTGAAATGAATCGCGGACTTGTTTTGGAAAACGTATTATGGTTGCCTGAGGTCATGGACAAGTGCGAGAACTTCAAAAACTTATTGCTGTGGCAACCATGATACAACAAGAGCGGGTTGTGGTGGAAACCTATTGCAGGTATCAATCCTGGTTTAATGGTCTTGAGGGGCAGAGCAAGTATGGAGAACACTTCAGTTTACTGATGAATATCCCCAGAAGACCATCTTGAGGTCATTTTAGAGTCACGTTTTGTCTTTTAAGCTATCTTGGGAAAAAAAAGGAATCTAAAGAGCTTAATCAAAAGCTAGAAAGCTCAGTCAAACCAATGTTTATTAGTTAGTTAGTTAGTCCTCTTCGTGCGTCTTTGCACATGATGTATCGTCTGGAGAATGCCATTGATTTCTTTCCGTTGCCAGTCGCTCAGGCTGCTTTATGCCCACCCTCTGTCTCTCATTTCCCTTTGGCCGTCGGGAGTCCATGGATGGGGATTGTGGGCATGTAGGGCTGATATGGCATTCGAAGTACATGGCTAATCCAACTCCATCTTTTTCTCTGGACCTGCGTGGTGATTGGTTCTGTATTCGTTTATCAAAGCAGTTCATCGTTGGAGATGATGTCAGGCCAAAAGAAGCGGAGAATTCTTTGCAGTGTTCCTTGATTCCCACTAATTATGATAATTACTTCATTTTTCTTAGGTTCAGAAGATACTGTCCATGTACACACCAGCCAACGAGTATGAAGCTAGAGTACCTTCGTCTGTGATTCGTGCAGTTGTGGACCGCGGCCATAACAAGACAGATCCAATGTACCTGATGACTGATACAGCGTACATTTATCCCTTTACGTTGCCTTTCACTCCTTCAGCTGTGTCGTTAGAGTCTCTGAACATCCCTGATCATTTGAACCTTGATTTTCTTAAGGTGGTGTGAAGTTTGTGTTAGTACTAAATAGCAGAATTGGGTTTTGGATTGAGGCTGGAATTTCCTTTTAAATTTCGAATTTTTTTTCGCATGAAGAATACTCATGTCCGAGTTCTGTCATTATTGGGTGCATGTTGATACCTCAAATCAATTCGACTGCTTCGTATCATTTCGAAGGACCCCTACCAAAAAGGTATTATACGCTAATATATAATTTAGAGAAAGCCGTCATTGGCTTTGAAGTTAAGAAACAAGTTATGAATGGATATATTGTATCAACAAAGTAATTGTTAAAGTATAGAAATAAGACCTGTGAGTAACAATTGAGCGTAGCCTCAGAACCAAATTTACATTAAGAATGCTTCTTTGATAGACACAAGTTAAGCATGTAAATAGCATAGCCTAATCATTGCGCCCTATTACAAATAGCCTCTATGTTAGCATTTAGCGCTTCTTTGGAGGAGACCTTAGCAGATCTGCGAGTAGAGAGGTAGTGGACCCCTATGTTTAACGTTCAACTGTGAGAGTGGAGTTGGGGGTTGGGGTTGCGAGAAGTTAATCTCAAGTATTGAACTGATTTGATTTTGCTTTCAAGTCGTCAGAAAGGTTAGATTTTGGAACACCTTACAAACTGCCATTGAGAGGTAAAAGAGGAATTTAGAGTTTTCTTTATCGTCATCTTTGTATTTTGTATTTTGTTTTTTGTTATTTTTCGCTTTGGTGGTTATTTTGTAATTTGTCGATCAGCAAAGCCTTTTTTCGATCCAACGGTATTTTGTACTTAAAGATATTTTTGGCCTTTTGTTGTTCGTCTCTTATATGTCGGTTAACCTAACACAGCTATTTCAAAGAGATTGTGTCTTGTAAAATTTAATTAAGAATTAATTTTTGTGATTTCGTACGGCCTGTCATCACTAGAAAAAGAGATGATACCTTCTGTAAATCCACTTTGCAGATACAAAAATAGCATTTCGTGACCAATGACAGCCTTATCTAGTTGTCACGCAGTACTCTTCAGAAGGAAACGCGTGACATTGTAAGTTTAAAAGGTCACGGAGGATACTTTGATATAGTTTGGTGAATGATCAATTTATTTGATGGAAATTGAAATTGCATTGATTATAATCTCAATGTTACTTGTTTTAGCAGTTCTTGATTTTCCTATTTTTTTGCAATTTCAGTGAAACTATAAAAACTGCCAAAGAAATTGCAATGCGGAATTTGTTGGCATTCTTTACGAACTTTTCTTTGTTGCAAAGAGGAATTTGCAACCCTTACTTCAATATGCATTATATTAGGCATGAATACGCCGTTGGCATAGTTGATGACGTGCCATCTGAACAGCATTACGGCGAAAAACAAGGTAAATTGATGGTTTTACAATCGATGCAGTGTCAATACGCATTCACAAGTGCAGGTTACGTGAATTAAAAGCTGATTACTGAAAATATCGAAATATTTTTGGGAGACAGGCCAGAGGAATATTTGTATGATGACGTGAACATGTGAAGTTGATATGGTAGCAGTGCATATGAAGCTAAATTATTGAATGATCAGTAACCAGGACTGAAAATAAATGTATTTTTTTGGTAGAACTGGACGGTATTGTGTTTTCACTTTGAAGTGCCCATGATGTTATATCTGATAAAGCTTTTTTTTATTGAAAAGAAAAAGATCGTTGCATCGAAAGTACTAACCTGTCCGTTCTTGCTTTCGTACGCGTGATCTTCTCAATGGTCCCAATTGTTACAAAAAGCTGAAGGTTACAATGAGAATCGGCCTTGCCTAACTCTGATGAAACAAATAATCACAACAAATCACAGCTAAAACCTACGCAAACAATTTGTGAATGATTGTACATTACAGGGGGAAATTTTGAAAGAAGTAAATCCTCTCTCGTGCTCGTAATATGTGCCTGCACGTCTATAAAGTCTGCAAGTTGATTTTGTGAGGACAAACCTTGATCTCGGGGAAAACCGCCGCAGAAATGGATTTTTCAGAATGTTGATTATGGCTACGTTCAAACGGAACCGGACGAGTTTTCGATCGGTGGAAAATTCGTGCATCTGGGCGTTTCGTTCTCATGGAACCATGCCAAATGTACGAAAATTTGAATGCCGAAGCGTTCAAAAATTTGAACATCAAAATCGAGGACGAATTTATAGCCGCTGCAGTCAACAATTTTACCGCCACGGTGTGAACACTTTGACATCGAAATTTTTGTACAGCGAAGGCGTGGCTGCATGGATACGTGGAAACTAGGCTAAATAACATATTTACAATTGTATACGGAGATGGAACGTGTTGGTTCATTGATTGCAGTGCTCGGTAATATTTCAACTTTTTGGCATAATATTATCTTGTAAATGTGTAGACCATGCCGGACTTACCACGCACGTAAACGACGTTGTGTTGGTGTTTTGATGACGTCAGAAAATCAACATTTAAAACTTCGCACGTCTATCTGTAAATCGAAGACGTCGAAGCAGCAGAAACTCTGAACGCCATTTTGCTCTGGGTTAAGAAGCGTTCTGCGCATGAGGAGACGGTAAAACACTCAAAAATGTCGCAAAATCAATCCTGTTAGTTCCATTTGAACAGAACAAAACTTTCGAACGATTCCGCGTGTACAGAGTGTCCGGTCGAAACTTTCGGCCTGTCGAAAATTCGTCCAGTACCGTGTGAACGTAGCCCAATTCTTTCAAGTATGGGGTACTTTAATGCGTATAACGCTTACAGGAAATATTTATTCTCATAGATAACTGTGTTATGGAGGCAAAAAGCACGGCAGATTAAAAGAACAACAGCAACAACAACAACAACTAATTTAAATCTGGCGTGGGTTTTCAGACCCAAAAAAGCTCCTCTGAATAGTACGATAAAGACAAAAAATATTTTTCTTGCATCTTCGTACAAAAAAAGAACACAAAAGACCTATATCATTGGTCAGAGAATTTCCACAATCTGTTTCAAGTTAAAGTTGAACACAAACATTCGACAAGTGGGAACAGTAAAACAAATTTTCGCTAACAAATGACAGCCAGCGTCAACTCACAGAATGCCGATATTACAATTGTCATAGCAGCTGCAATGGAATACACGCATGTGGGTTACATTTCCATCCTGAGTGTTGCATTCTGACCCATCACAGTGGATGTGCAATCCACACGTTTTAGAGAAGTGAGTTTTAGTTACTCCTCCAGGTTTTGTCTCGGTAAGCACTTTTATCTGGCAGGCAGAGCCTTTTTCACCAACTTGGCACAGCTACGACTGTAGCTTACTTTCGCAATCAGCCCATGATTTATCTGAGTAACAGCCCCAACAATAAAGACAGAGCGCTGCACAAAGGTAAACAATCAAAAATTACTATCATTACTCGTCGCTCCAGGAAAGACTGTCTGTCTTGGCGGTTAAGGGGATTTTGGGGAACTCTCTCTCACAAAAGAGAGGAGTGCCCCTCATTATTTCTGGCCAGGGGGGTCTGAGTTTTTTTTTTTGGCGGGGAGATCACATGATTTTTAGGGGGAAAAGGAATGGGAATCAGTACTATCTAGTAGAGTTCAAAGAGGGGACTATAGAAAAATTGACCGGCACTGACTGAGGGGTAATCATTAGAATACTAAAGAACCACTCTAATTTGCTTCAATATTTCTTGAAAAGCATTCTGGGTTCTCTACGCTCGAATAAGAGAAATAATCTATCAGAAATGGTTTTCGTCCCCCACCCCCCGCTCCCTCCCCGATTGATAATGAGATTATCACACCATATACTCTATTGTGACATATTTGTTAAATATCCTCTCCAGGAATTCTCAGTATTACCTTCAATAAATCTTCCAGGATGATCGCTTAGATGTCGAATACCAAGAGCTCTGATATCCAGATGAAACTTAGGATCACCATATAATTGGCTGAGACAGCTCGATAAAAACAACCACCACCACCAACATCCAGAGGTCTTAGTCCATATTTTGGCTGTCTTGTCGCTAATCGCTGATACGTAAATGGTTTTGTGGTGAAATTTTCTCTACAGAACCAGGGTTCATTACAATGTCACCAGACTTCAACAGCTTTGTATCAGACACAGAATATTGCTTACTTTTAATGTTTTTGCAATAATTCTTGCATGTAAGTTTATGCAATACTTTAAATAAAAAATTCTCAGTGTAAAAAGAGTGCAATAGGAGTCGATTTCCTAAGAACCATTTACGCTTTTGTCTAAGTTTTCTTCTCCTCATGGCTTGGATCACTTTTTTGTCTCTAAAATGCAAGTGTCGACCGATCTTCGATTGTTTACAAAGCTTTCTTAAGGTGAGTCCGTATACAGTAGTTAAAACCTCATTAGAACTATATTCATTATTTAAATTTAACTTGTCAAATTTGTCAGCAATAATTCCAGAAGAACTTTAGGAATGATTCACCACAGCTTTCATATCGTTAGTTTCTCGACCATTGAAAAATTTACATGCAACAGTTTGACAGTCACGTGCTACTTGTAATTTAGCGTTTTGATTTCCCCTAAAAGCTTTGTTCATCCCGTAAATGGGCTCGATATTCCTACAAGGCGAAAGAGGCTCATGTTTTCCCTGAAAGAGCTTTCTATTTTCCTTCAACAGCTTCAGTAAACACGTATATTTTTTATATTTTTTTTACATTTTACAACCTTTGCTTATTTGCTCGTCTCAATCAGCAAAGCGGTAAAAAAATAATGTTTGCATGATATACGATGTGTGATTTAGTAATGTTGCATATACATCTTAAAATTATACTATTAATAATATTGACTACCCTAAACAGGTAAATCACTCACAGAAAGCCCGGGACCCCTACTTAGATTACGGTTTTTAGCAGGTGAAGCTTACCAGAGAGAAATCAGTCAAATCCACGAGTCTCTGGCAATTTCTGATATTGATCCGAGATGGCCATACTTGGGAACTTCCCCTGATTGGATTATTGAATGCAAATGCTGTGGGATGGGTGTATGTGAAAAAAAAATTTCCACATGCATACAAGGATTCCACAATCTCTGAGGCTGTTGGCCAAAAGAACTTTTGTTTAAAGAAAGACGAGTGTTGTAAAATTTATCTGAACAAAAGCCATGCTTACTACTACCAAATTCAGGCCCAGATATTTATCTTCGCGGTTGAACATTGTGATTTTGTGATGTGGTCCACTAAAGATCTCTTGTGCAACAAATTCTTCCTGACCGAGAGTTTTTGGAAAATGCAGTCTGTGCTGCCACTGAGTTCTTCAGCAAGTGCATTTTGCCTGAAATTGTAGGGAAGTGCTACACACAAGCAAGGTGTGGGGCTCAAACCATTCCTCCTTCACTAATATCATCTGGTGATGAAGATGAGGAAGGGTCTTGGTACTATTGTTGACAAGATTTGGAGGGCAGCACATTGATTGGCTGTGATAATGCTTCATGCATGATAAAATGGTATCATGTGTCATGTTTGAAGTTGAAAGAAGAGCTTGAAGGAGATTTGATATGTCCTACTTGTTAAAGAGAAAGATAATCAAGCAATCATCATTCAAATGTCAAGTTTATTTAATTGTACCACTATCACGAAAATACTGCTTTGGGGTGCTCCATTCATTGCAAAATTGCAAACTGAATTGTCAAATAATGAACTTTGGTGGGAAATTTGCAATAGTGGTTTGTTACACTAAAACTGAACAAATCCTTTCTTGTCCATGGTGCACCTCAAAGCTGTGTTTTAACAATATTCACCAACATGAAAATTACTTTATAAATGCCTAAAAGCAATCAGTTATTACTGCTACTTCATTTCCAAGCTCTTTTTGAAGACTGATAGCATACTTTTTCTTAGCTCTTCTCTCTGTGGCCATAGTACGAGAAATTGCAAGCATGTACTAATGATATCAATCCGACTTGTCAAATATCCAGCTAACAGTTGAAACAGAGATCCCAAATCGGTATGCTGAGTCTCGAAATGGACAGTTCAGCTTAAGCATCATTAATTTGACTGTCAACTCTAGAAACTGCGGAAGAACATTCTCCATCATTTCGTTTTCTGTAGTTTCTTTCTTTTTTCTACTTCTCCTGGTACCTGAATAGTGTGAATAAAAGATTGTTGTTGTTGTTGTGTATGTTGTTTTTCGTTTCTTCTCCCTAATGCAACAATACAGAAGGAAATAAAAAAAACTGAAATTTTCCCTTCTCCTGTTTTGAAATGTGACCACATCCATACACAGCACAGAGATGTGGCATGATAATGAAAGAAAACAATTGCAAAGCGATACCGGCTGTAAACACGTGGGTGATTATTTCCCAACACGGTCGACTTCCAGTTTTTCAATATATGTCGACGTCGAGTGCAAACAAATAATTGTCAGTCGAAATAACCATGACATGGATTACGAATTTAGAAGGGAAATGCAATGTACGGAAGGGAACTCTTTACCAAGTGACTTAGCGGGAGGATACGGAAATAAAACAAAGGTCACCCTTGGAACAGGAAGTTGACAGTAAGGTAGGCCCGTAGGTCACGTAACCAAACACCCCCCCCCCGATTTTCAAGCCATGTTTGAATGTAATGTCAACAAAAGGTGCGGTTTGAAAAAATTGATCGTATGAAGCAAACTACTGATCTGCTTTATCGAGGCTGAATGTCTCTATTTCAATGCATTTGGGGCAAAGTTTCCGCACAGCCCCATACTTCATCATGCATACAGTCCTTTGTTAGAAGAAAACAATAGCGCGAACCATAAAGAAAACGACGTACAAACTTGAAGCTCACCACCGCCATCTACATTTCACACACAAAGCAATTGAGAACCAGTGGATTCCTAAATCCTTGAGGTTTAAACCACCTGGCATCCACCCGGTTTTCAAACGCATTATGGAACGGGCCAGCAAACACTGTATGAGAGCAAGAATCTCTATTTGCCACGATCGAATTCGATTCCTGAAAGAAACTCTTGATGAATCCAAACAACAGTTATCAAGTTTGGTCACCTAAGATATCTCATCAATGTTGCTACAATTCTTAAAAATGCGGTCTCAATCTGTCCGCAACAACATTAAAGCGAGACATGAGAACAAGCTTACAAACCTAAGAATGGAAGCTGAAAATGATCGCCCTAGTGCCATTAACAAGAAAAACTGGGTAATTAATTTATCACAAAAAACCCCTAACCGTGGCAGAACGTTCTCTTCTTGAGAAAGGTCCTAAATTTGCTCCAACCCCACAAATCATCCCTGTTAAAGATATTGTCTCCGAGGTCGAAGCTGCCATCGCCCGCCTTCCTGATGACACGAAGGACGCCGTACGAACCACCACCGCTTCGTTGCTCCACAGGGCCCGACTCCCACCACACAGGAACACCACCAAAACCGAATTAAGAGCCCTAAAGAACTTAAAAAATGACCACGAACGTGTTATTACGAAAGCTGATAAAGGGAACTGTTTTGTTGTTATGGACAGAACTGACTATGACTCCAAAATGGAAACTCTACTCAGCGACCGAGAGAACCTACCAACCAGTCCACAAGTCACCATTCGCCAAAATTGAAAGGGAACTGAACAGTAGACTCCTCGATCTTAAACGACAAAACAAGATAGACGAAACAGTCTACCAAACACTCCCCTCTACAGACGGTTCTCCGCCTGCCATCCGGGGTTCCATTAAACACCACAAATCAGTATTCCCTCTTCGACCGATTGTATCGAGCATTGGGTCTGCCCTTTAAAACACATCCAAGTTTCTCTCTGATATCCTATCGCCGATTCAGAACCTCAATGGCTATTCTGTTCTTAACTCCTCACAGTTTGCTAAAGAAGTAGCCAATATGGAAAGTTCTGATGATGAAGTTATGGTGTCATTCGACGTTGTGTCGCTTTTCACAGCTATCCCTGTCAACAAAGCGTGTGATTATATTCGCAACAAGTTGAACAATGACAGTACTTTACAATCTAGAACAAGCCTTACTACCGATGACATCATTTCTCTATTGGACTTCACTCTCTCCAATAACTATTTTGTCTACAATAACTGTATATACAAGCAAGTCCACGGATGTGCCATGGGCAGCCCTGTAAGCCCTATCGTCGCTAATCTTTGCATGGAGGTAGTTGAAGAATTAGCCATCAATACCTCTACAGTTGCACCAAGGGTTTGGAAACGATATGTTGACGACAGCTTTGTTATCATCAAGAAAGATGCTGTCTCCTCCTTCCATGACGCCTTAAACTCCATTGATCCCAAAATCGCTTTTACTATCAAAGAAGAAAACAATGGTCAAATCTCTTTCCTGGACACGCTTGTTTCCAGGAAAAATGGTGTTACTAGCATTGATGTTTACAGGAAGCCGACACACACAGATAGATATCTGGATTTTTCTTCACATCATGAATTAAAACATAAAGTCTGTGCGGCCTCGACCCTTCTATTCCGTGCAGCCAACCTTCCGAGCACCATTGAAGGTAAAAGACGTGAGACTAACCACGTTACCGAAGCCTTAAAAGCTAATGGCTACCCATCAATAGTTATTTCCAACATTTTAAAAAAGAAGTCAGCTCCGACAACTCCTCCACCAGAAGAGTTAGTGTCCATGTTCTTCAAATGGGCCGATCCATCAGACACATCTCTGGGTTTCGCTTGTCTTCCCTACATCAGCGGCCTGACTGAGCCCCTTACCAGATTACTTCGTAAAAATGACATTCGTGTAGTTAGCAAACCAGCTAAAACCCTGCAACAAGAATTTCCGTCACCTAAGTTCAGGCAGCCCTTAGATCTACAGTGCAATGTTGTCTGCAAAATCCCGTGCTCTGACTGCTGTTGGAGTTATGTAGGAGAAACTGGCAGATGCTTTAAAACCCGAAGAAAAGAACATCAACGAAATCATAAAAACTATACGAGTGGCTCGAACATTGCCAACCATACGTGGGAAAACAATCACGCGATTGACTTTGAGGGCGCTACCGTGATAGACAAAGGCAATTACCGCGTTCGAAAAACACTAGAATCTTGGCATACCGCAAAAACTGTCGGCGCAGACAATAACTCTAAACCGTTACCAAGACTTTTAAAACCTTTTTAACCTGAGAACGTTTTTTTACCTTTTTCATTCTGGATTTTGTTGATGTTGCTTTTGCCGATTTCTTTTCAACAATACTTTGTTGATACTGTGGTTGTTGTTTTGTTTTACATGATAATTTAGCTCTTTTATTGCATTGGTGCCAACATGATGAACAACCTGCTGTTAAGGAAAGACTTGTGTCATTGGTCAAGGGGAATGCTGATCAGGTCCGTGATCATATAAAACTTTACTTTTTCGCTGAAGTGCCAAAAAAGCTCATCACCAAAATCCAAATTTCTCCAAAGAAAATGACTAAACAAGAATGAACGAATCCATGGATAGTAACAGATTGCTTGGTAATCTTTTTACCTGGTAAGTGAAGTATACTCAGAGAGGGAAATAAAGAAAACCGAAAAGTTAACGTTTTTGTTCCTTAGATTTAACCTCAGTCAGTTGGAGGACTGGGTCCGGCTGAACCAACTGGAGGGTAGCGGTATTGTGGAGGCTTTGGAGAATGTCACACAAGCGACACAATTACTTCAGGTCAACAAAAAAACGTTGGAAGACGTGGACGCGATCTGTAAAGTCTGTAGTTCTCTTAATACCTTACAGGTAAGATAACCGCTTTACTTACCTGCTGACAAGTAAGATAACCGCTTTACTTGCCTGCTGACAGGTAAGATAACCGCTTTACTTACCTGCTGATAGGTAAGATAACCGCTTTACTTACCTGCAGACCGGTAAGATAATCGCTGCTGGCGGATTTGTAGTCATCATCAGAAAATTAGGATGTCAAATACGGTGGTAACTCGGAAAACAAGCTGGTTACACAATTCGCAACAACACGACAGGGAACAAGGCCCACAGATAGAGAGGACGACATTTGTTTGTTTGATGTTTTTTCTTTTAAGTAAACGGCGCAAATTCAAACTATTGTAAATTTGTGTATTTGAATTAAGCGGTGAAATGAATCGCGGACTTGTTTTGGAAAATGTATCATGGTTACCTCAGTTCAGGGAAAAGTTCGAGAACTTCAAGAACTTATAGCTGTGTCAACCATGATACAAAAAGAGCGGGTTGTGCTGGAGACCTATTGCGGGTGTCACTTATGGTTTAATGGTCTTGAGGGCCAGAACAAGTATAGAGAACACTTCAATTTACTGATGAATATCCCCAGAAGATCATCTAGAGGTCATTTTAGAGTCACGTTTTGTCTTTTAAGCGATCTTGGAAAAACAAGAATCTAAAGAGTTAAATCAAAAGCTAGAAAGCTCAGTCAAACCAATGTATATTAGTTAGCTAGTTAATTCTCTTTGTGCGTCTTTGCACATGAGGCATCGTCTGGAGAATGCCATTGATTTCTTTCCGTTGCCAGTCGCTCAGGCTGATTTATGCCCACCCTCTGTCTCTCATTTCCCTTTTTACGGTTCTCCTCCAAGTTTCCTTGTAGAAGCCTCTTTTGTCTGCCGTCGGGAGTCCATGGAGGAGGACTGCGGGCAGACAATGCTGGTATGGCATTCGAAGTACATGGCTGATCCAACTCCCACCTTCTTCTCTGATGGGTGCTGCACTCGTTCAACGGAGCAGTTCATCCTTGGAGATGATGTTAGGCCAAAAGAAGTGGAAAATCCTCTGCAGTGTTCATTGATTACTACCAATTGTGATAATTGCTTCAATTTTCTTAGGTTCAGAAGATTTTGTCCATGTACACACCAGCGAACGAGTACGAGACCCGAGTACCTTCGTCTGTGATTCGTGAAGTAGTGGAGTGCAGGCATAATAATACAGATCCAATGTACCTGATGACTGATATAGAGTACATTTATCCCTTTACATTGCATTCACTCCTTCAGCTGTGTCGTTAGAGGCTCTGACCATCCCTGATCATTTGAACCTTGATTTTCTTAAGGTGGTGTGAAGTTTGTGTTAGTACTAAATATCAAAATTGGGGTTTTGGATTGGGGCTGGAATTTCCCTTTTAAATTTCAAATTTTTTTCGCATGAAGAATACTCCTGTCTAAGTTCTGTCTTTATTGGGTGCATGTTGGTACCTCAAATCAATGAGACTGCTTCGTGTCATTTCGATGGACCCATATCCAAAAGGTATTATACACTAATATCTAATTTAGAGAAAGCCGTCATTGGCTTTGAAGTAAAGGAACAAGTTATGAATGGATATAGTGTATCTAAGTGATCAACTAGAATGTTGATGAGGTATAGAAATAAGCCCTGTGTGTAACAGTTAAGAATGACCTCTGAACCAAATTTAAATGAAGAATGCGACTTTGATAGACACAAGTTAAGCATGTGGATCATTGTGCCCTATCACAAATAGCCTCTTTGCCACGCAAATAATAGCTCTTTGCCTCGCACTTAGCGCTTCTTTGGAGGGGACCGTAGCAGATCTGCAAGTAGAGAGGTAATGGCCCATGTTTACGTTCAACTGTTAGAATTTAGTTGGGGGGTGCGAGAAGTGAATCTCAAGTGTTGAAATGATTTTGATTTTGCTTTCAATTTGTTAGAAAGGTTAGATTTCGGAACACCATACAAACCGCCCGTGAGAGGTAAAAGAAGAAATTAGAGTTTTTTATCATCATCTTCGTATTTTGTTAATTTTTCTGTTTTGGTGATTATTTTATAATTAGTCGATCAACAAAGCTTATTTTTTACTTAGATATTTTTGGCCTTTTATTATTTGTGCCTTATGTGTGGGTTCACCGAACAAAGCTTTTCAAAGAAATTGTTTCTAGAAAAATTTGATGAAGCATTACTTTAGTGATTACGAACGGCCTCTCATCACCTGAAAAAAAGATGATACCTTCTGTAAATCCACTTTGCAGAAACAAAATTGATCTTTCGTGACCAATCTTTGGCATCCGTGACAGGCCTAATGTAGTTGTCACGCGGTACTCTTCAGAAGGAAATGAGTGACGTAAGTTTTAAAAGGTCAAGGAGGATATTTTGATGTAGTTGGCTGAATGATCAATTTATTTGATGAAAATTGAAATTGTTGTGATTATAACCTCAATGTTACTTGTTTTAACAGTTCTTGATTTTCCTGATTTGAGCAATTTCTAGAAAACTCTTTAAACTGCCATAGAAATTGCAATGCGGAATTTTTTAGCACTTTTCCTTGTTGCAAAGAGGAATTTGTAACCCTTATTTTAGCATGCACTATATTACGCATAAATAGGCCGTTGGCATGGTTGATGACGTACCATCTGAACAGCACTACCGCGAAAAAAAAGGTAAATTGAAGGTTTTACAATCGATGCAGTGTCAATACGCATTCACAAGTGCAGGTTACGTGAATTAAAAGCTGATTACTGAAAATATCGAAATATTTTTGGGAGACAGGCCTGAGGAATATTTGTATGATGACGCGGAACATGGGAAGTTGATATGGTAGCAGTGCATATGAAGCTAAATTATTGAAAGATCAGTAACCAGGACTGAAAATAAATGTATTTTTTTGTAGAACTGGATAGTATTTTGTTTTCTCTTTGAAGTGCCCATTATGTAAAATATCCGATAAAGCATTTTTTTTCTTTTGCATAAAAAAAAAGATCGTTGCATCGAAAGTACTAGCCGGTCCGTTCTAGCTTTCGTGATCTTCTCAAGGGTCCCAGTCTTTACAAAAAGCTGGAGGTTACAATGAGAATCAGCCTTGCCGAACAGTGATGTAACAAAATAGTCGCAACAAATCTCAGCTAACACCTACGCAAACAATTTGTGAAGGATTATACATTACAGTGGAAAATTTTGAAAAAATCAAATCCTCTCACATGCTCGTATTACGTGCCTGCACGTTTGACAAGTCGCGAGTTGATTTTGTGAGGACAAACCCTGATCTCGGGGAAAACCGCCACAGAAATGGATTTTTCAGAATGTTCATGAAGTCTTCCAAGTGTGAGGTACTTAAATCAACATAACGCTTAGAGGAATTTTTTCCCTCTCACAGATAACTGTGTTATTGAGGCAGAAAGCACGGCAGATTAAAAGAACAGCCACAATAATAACAACTAATTGAAAATTAGCTTGGGTTTTCAGACTCTCGAAAGCTCCTCTTAATAATACAATAAAGACAAATATATTTTTCTTGTATCGTTGTACACAAAAGAATACAAAAGTCCTATGTCATTAGTCAGGGAAGTTCCGTAATCTGTTTCAAGTTAAAGTTGAATACCAACATTCGACAAGTGGGAACAGCATAACAAATTTGCGATAACCAATGACAGCCGGCATTAACTCACAGAATGCCAGTATTACAATTGTCATAGCAGCAGCAATGGAATACACACGTGTGGGTTACATTTCCCTCCTGTAAGTTGCATTCTGACCCATCACAGTGGCTCTGCAGTCCACACGTTTTGAAGTAGTAAGTTTTAGGTACTCCTTTAGGATTTGTCTCGGTAAATTCTTCTATCTGGCAGACAGAGCCAACTGGGCATAGATGCGACTCTAGCTTACTTTCGCAATCAGCCCATGACTTATCTGAGTAACAGCCCCAACAATAAAGACAGAGTGCTGTACAAAAGTAAACAAAAAAATTACCATTATTACTCTTCGCCCCAGGAAAGACTGTCTTGCGTAAGTTGGCGTCAAAAGCGACTATGGGAAACTCTCTCTCTCACAAAAGAGATGGGTACTACTCATTGTTTCTGGCCTGGGGAGGGGGGGGGTTCGAAGAATCTTTTTTTTTTTTTTTTTTGCTAAGACTAAGACTGGAGAAAAATTGACTGACACTGAGGGGTAATCATTAGAATACTAAAGAACCTAATGGGGGAGGGGCTGAGGTAAGTTTTACTGTGCCGCAACTGAAATGCTCCATCCCCCATTTGATAAATACTGACTGTTTCCAACAGAAGTTTTAAGTATGCCCATCTACCTCAACCATCGTTAAAGTAAGACTAGTTTCTCCCTGAAGTGAAGGTGAATGGGATTTTTGCATTGTGTGTCATTGCCTTTCACGTGATGGCATGAACCCCCTCAATTAGCTTCAAAATTTCTTGAAAAGCATTCTGGGTTCCGAATGAGGAAGAGTTATTACTCAGTCTTACGCTCGAATAAAAGAAATGATCTGTAAGAAATCCGACCCCAGCTACGATAAATGCCCGTTTATGCGAAAAAAAAATTAAGCCAGTGAATGACATTTTTTCTGGGTTTCTCACTCTACATGATTTTGCATAATTATTCGCTTGTAATATGCCTGCTCGTATCTTCCCCCACCCCCACCCCCACGACTTTTCCTTTGATCTCTCTTTGGTCACACACAGGAATTTACTTGACCTATAATCTGATTATTTCAAGAGTGACTCACACAAGAAGGTTACGTACCACTTTTAAAATCGGAGCGTTCAAAACACGACATCTTGTATGATTCAGCCCATTAAAACCAAAGGAAAAAGTGTGAATCAAATGAAACTATCTTGAAAATCGCCGTCTAATCCGTACGTGAAATGTTTTGGCGACCGTTTTTTTTTGTATCAAAACACAAAGCTACTCAATATCTCGGTGATCATTACTCATACATCGACTTACACATTAAGAAGGTATACTACTAAGTACTTCATAGAAACTGAAACAAAATGAGTAAGCCATAATGTTCTAGAATTTTTTGCAACAAAAACCGTCAAATCATTGGCTTAAAGGAAAGTTATTCCCAAATTCAACTTATGGAAATTTCAATCTGGCACCGGCCGAGATCAAGCAGCTTTCGAATTCCAACCCCTTGACACAGAATGTTTCATTTCTCGGTGACTGGCATAAAATGCCACAAAATATTGCTTAAACATTCAAGGATGCAAAGGGAGAGTCATTTAGATGTAAACTAATTCAATCTTTGTTATCCAAGAGGAAAGTAAACTCTGATTGGAGAAGCGATCCCGCTCAGGTTTGGCTAATAGAGAGCAAATCATGACTATAAATGAGTTAAACCTGAAATACCTCCGGGAATAAGCGATATTAAAGCAATCCTAAACAACACAGCAGCCATTTCTTCAACGTAGGACTTGTTACTGTTCAGTGACTTTCTATACTCTGTGATGAATGATTACAGAACTCAATATATATATACGTTTCTCGCCTAAAATCAGTTGTGATCATCAACGACTAGCGAAATTTGAGATCCAAGAGATTACCGATTTTGACCCCTTTTGACAGGTGTCAGAAAAACTAGTGATAGTACAATACCGGAGCTAAAGTTCGATTTTTATTTCAGTACATGCATTGAGGTTGTGTGTGCGTTGAAAATGGTGAATTGAAAAGTTTCATACCCTTTGTCTGCCTTTCTACTGAAGATCAGGTTTAAGTTATTGTAAGCCTGAGTTTTGAGAGATTTGTTATCTGAACGTGATACATTCGCATGCCAAACAACCACCCTTTATGACGGCCGGAAGTTGCACAAGTGGCTTCGAAAGTAGCTATCCGCAAAAGATAGAAGGTTTTGAACATATCCTGGGTTTGAGAGCGTATTTTGACGCAGCGCTTTCGAGTGGGTAAGGAGATGTGGAAATATGGTTTGCCTTAAACCTGCAATTTTTCATCTTATTTCCAAAAAAGCGAATTTGCAATACTTTGGTCTCTAACCGGTTATATTAGTTGGTAAAACTTTCATTTGAAACACCGAGCAGAAACTCGTTGAAGAACTGGGCGTGCTAGTGTCAGCATGGTGCATCTTGTAACCAAGGTTTAGCCGAAGAAATTGAGCGAAACTTGTAGGTTTATTATAATGGCGCTCTCTCGTTGACGTTTAATGATTGCTGGCGATTAATGTTAAGACCCATAAGATTAACTATATTGAGACTTGTTTTAGAAAAGATGCCTTTTATTCATCTGAGCATCAAGCAATGTAGAATTACAGTACATTCAGTTTCCCCTGAGTGAACTGCGAGGCTGAGATGGCCTGGTGAACCTGAAAAAAGGAAAGAGCAGGAACAAAATTTAGTTCAGATTACAAAGTTACATCGACACCGAAGTCGATTGCTAGTGCGTGACACCAGCGCCAGACCGGTCAATGATGACTTGTAATCACAGTCACAAAAGTTATGCTATCACGCTACAGTAGTTACATCCTTGATGACACGTTTTTTGCACATTGATCTTCCAAAACCCAATCAAATTTACTAGATGAACTTAACTAATAAAAGAACGATATCGGGAAAATTTTTTAGCTGACCTAGTGCTCATTCACACTTGTACTTCACAGTAAGATATTTTCTGACTCCTTGGCACGGATCACCAAACACGCTGTTACTCGCATGCAGTGCACAACTGACTTTCCCTTTGCACGTTTTCTGCACAATGCCAAGTGACGTGGAGGCACGGCAATTGGTCACTGTAGACTTGCCACACATGTTTTTGTTGAGTCGACCATAATTTGCATGCAGGATGTTCATTTTCTTCCCTTTCTTGCAAGTTATGGTAGTTTTCTTGGTTTCGCAGATCGTCACTGATTTAGGTTTGTCTAAGGTGAAAAATAAACAGCAACGCAAGGTCTTTAAAATCGAATTCACTGCGTTCTTGAACTCAAGACAATTAACACCAAATGTGTGTTGCAATTTATACCGCTGTATATGTCCCTTCACTTCTTCAAGATAGAATGATTTACTGATATCTTTGGTAAAAATTCCGCGCAGCCCCATACTATTGTAAAACAAATCTGTTTTCCCAATGGCAATGTATTGTTTTTGTCGTTGTTTTCTCTATCCAAGAACCGAATCCATAGTGTAGTATGGGGCTGTGCGGAAATTTTACCATTTCTTTCTTTCGCAGTGCAATCGTTTCTCGAAACTAGAAGGAAAACAATTCCTTCTACAATTCTCTTGGACAAGCTGTTTTACGACTAGTTTGCATTCCGAAAGAAGCTTGTGGACACTGAAATTTGAAATTTTTGTGGTGCCTCTTGAGTGTGAATCATGCACTACGACAAATTTTTACATAAAAGCAGAAACTCTCACCTCCGTTAATCGCCTTTCTCATCATCTTTGTAATGGTGGTCAGTTTACGGTCTAACTTGGTCAAGCGCTGGAAAATCTTTGTGTTCGCTGATAAAAATAGAAACATAACGAAATTCAGAACATTAGGTCATGAGCACTTGAAGCAGAACCTCTGATCACATCGGACAACTATTTCCTCAGGAGACGTTCAATTCAATAAATTTGTTGTCGTAGATAATAAGCTTTCCAAACCTTATCCTACCTTTCCTCAGTTGTTTTGTTGCCAAGTCAATTGCACCGATTCTGCTATGAGTGAAGCGAAGAGTCAAGTCAACGGAACTTACAATGGACAAAACTTGTTTGAGATTTTTCTTCTGGTTGGGGCAAACTGTTTTGAGCTTGTTAGAGATTTGTTTTATCATAAACGCTTCTCCCTTTTTAGCTCGTTTAGCTTCGGAACCAAATAATGCCAGGAAGGCTACGAGCGCCAAAACAACGAGAACGCAAGTGAATTTCATGTCAAACTAATTTGAGGCAAGGGCTTCGTCTCCTCAATCAATCTCGACTGAAACTGCAATGGCTTTTCTTCGAAGAGGAAGACAATGTAAATTCTCGCTCTTTGTATCAAATTTCGCCGTTTTTTCATGTTGGTTGTCAAATATCTGATGACCCAATTTGATGATCTATTTGACGAGCTTCCAAAATGTCTTCCGCTCTTAGAATTATCGATAAATTTCACGTCACCGAAGAGCTGGTTCGAAAGTCCTTAATTTTGAGTCTTGATCTTAGATACAATATGTAATTAAATCGGACTAGTTCTTTTTTCGTAATTCTTTTTTCGTAGTTCTTTTTTCGTAATTCTTTGTTCTAACTCTGACTTCCTCTATATATATATTTTTGGACTTATTTCTGAAGCTTAGACTGACTGTAAATATTTGCTGACAACTCGATCAAAGTATGCTGACACGAGGTTTTGACGTATGTATACTAAAATTATTCAAAGTACGACCCTGCATACATCAACAAAGAAAGAAAAAGAGCTCTTTATCAAAGATACATGCAGTATTCTCCCTTTTCATTTTACTGCTTGTCACACACGAGTAGAAGTGATCCCAATTCTTTCCCCTACTGTATACGAAATTAGAAATATTAAGCATACTTGAATACACAAGCGACAATACACTCGATTAAAGTAAACAAGATATTTTTGGAACGCATGTGCTCACGACACTCCAGGGCTGATGGCTGTGTTATTGAATATCTTGTGCTCTCTTACCGATGATGACAAATTAAAAGCTCTTAGACAGCTCCGTACTATTGGTTCAATTTACGAAACCCCGATTTGTTCTTTCCCATTAATACCTGATAAAATTAGTAAAGCAGCTAGCGCACGATTCATAAGAGTCTAATATAAAAAGGAGCAACAACACTAATAACATCAGGCTGGTAAAAAATAAGACATTTTATTGTAAGTTACTATTCAGATACTGCACAAACATATTGGAAATTTTCTTCGTATCTTCGACAGGATGCATTTTCGTGTAGGTAATAAATTGTCGACGTATTTTTCTTAATTCTGCCATGTTTGCAGTCCTATCCAGAACAACGTGGAGACAAAACTGTCAAGGAAATATGCACATCATTTGAAATTTAGAAAACCCTATTGTTATCAATTGACTCACTAAGCGGTCACTTGTGATATGAATCGACTCTTTCGAGTGCATACCGACACTGTAAGTCCTCTTTGGGCGAGGGCACCCAAGTGCCCAAAATTGCTTATCCTTCTGTTGTTAAGGGCGGAAAAAAACGTGGTATGTTTTGTAAAGGATATTTTCTCCGATGTTCCCGGGACCGTGATGTGATCCCCAGGTACAAACGTCCGTTGGGAATTTATCAAGACCTAAAAGAAAATCACCATTGTGAAAGAAAAGCTACAAATGGTTTATCACTTTGACCAATTGCAGAGGTCTATTAAACAAAAAAAAATGACACTCAGATTATAGGAAACTACAAATGAATACCATCTAAATTTTTCATCTCCTTTGTTTCATTTGGTCTAAGAAGACAATTAACGACACCATCATTTAACTATAAATGACATTACCATGTATCTCTTTCAGGATTTAAATAACAGTCAACATTAACATTCGTCTAAAAGCCCATGTTATCATGAGATTCACGTAAAGGGCACAAAAGGGATTACTTACAGTAACTATTTCTTGAGTTATTTTGTCAAGCTCGTAGAGGAAGTTTGTTGCTGACAAAGGTTGCTTGAAAACAAAACAAATTGAACTGGTAAATAATTAAAAACCAAAACCTCTAAAACATCGTGGTCATTGATAGTGAAAATTGTGCTGCCTGGCATCAAAACACCATGAACTGCATTTAAATGCTAAACTGGTCCTGAGGTACTGAGACAAATGTCACCCATTGACAAGTACTCAATTGAATGTTATGGAAGAAAGGCATTACAAAAATAACTAGTCTGCAGAGCAGGCATATCTTTTAGCAGGTAAGTGTTCAATACTACTAACCAAGTGTTGAAGCCGCCATATCTGATTGGTAACATTAAGCAAAGCATGGAGCAGATTAACCAGACAAGAGAAGGGCTTGAGAAGAAATAAAATTTCTTTCCCAACCCCCAACCCAATTTCCTAGCTTGTTACTCTCTCTACTTCTCCCCTAAAGCTCTTGTTTTACTTGCCTAAAGATTTTTTCAAGTTTAACGATCCAACATCGCTGTTCCAATACTCAACTGGCATATTTTGCCCTAGCTTGCTGAAAGATTTACCAGCTAATTGCAAGCCAGTAAGGCTTAAGCAAAATGTCTTGGGTGACAGCCAAAGCTTGGTGGATACATGATTCAGGTCAATTCAAATTCCATATTCCTTACCGGTTGAGTAGCCTGGTTTGGTGGCGGTGGTACTCTGTTGATTAATGCATCATATATAGATTCAAATGGAAGGTCATCATCAACCTGAAGTAATGAAGCAACTGATTTAAAAATAGTAACGATGAGAAAAAGAAAATGTACATTCCAAGGGAGGCTCCTCTCAAATTCCTATCCTTCAAATTGAAAAAAAAAACAAATAAACTAATATAAAGGACAACAAAGGAACCAAAAAAGGAAAAAACAAAAAAAAAAAAGAATTAAGCCTTTTCCTATTACAGGTGACTGAAATACACCTGAAGTACATAAAAAATCTTACAAGTCATGTTAGTTTTGTGCAATTCCTTAAGCTGCATAACATGTATTTTAATATTTCTCATGGAAAGTAGAGGCAAATGTCTCTTGACCTCTATAAACTGTATTTCTTAAAACTGAAAATTTGAATTGCATGTATTATACCTGGATGACAAATAACGGAGAGTCCCATCTGTTCCTTGAGTCAGGCGGCTCAAACCTCATTACTAAAGCATCTAATCTGATTCAAACAAGATGCAGCACAAATACTCAAACTCAGATTGTAAGAAAAGTTTTGACAAGGAACAGTAAAGTAAAATCACTGCCATTTTAATAGTTGTGCAATCATAAATGACAAACTACATTTTTGTAGCACTGGGTTACAATGGCAATACGAGTGTCTTTTATCACTTTGTAGAGAGTAGAATAACACAAATTTTGATCAGTAAGTCATAAACCTAAACTGAAGATTCAAAACAAAACTAAAACACATGTATGTTACATCAGTTCTTACCAAAAGCAAAGAGTAAAAATTGTACCATTTTGGTTACTGAACACTGTCTAAAGATCATGTTCTGTCACAACACAATATAACCATCATAAAAATGGTAAATAATAAATGATTTTGTCAATCAAAGCTTTTTTGTGTGGTTTGAGCTTAGACATAAACTGTGCAATATAATTATGCAAACAACAGACATAAACGAAATACTACTAAATATCATAGAAATAAAAAATGATTCAGTATTTGTGTATTAATTAAGTAAGCCAATAGTACTCACATTTCATCATTATATTTACTTTCTCTTGTTTTATTCCACTCTGAACAGATTTCTTTAGAAGTGTCACAATGCACCTTAAAGTTAAAATTAACATGTGTTAATACCTGACTAGCACTGATCTCAGAGTTGTAAAAGTAGCTATGAAAACCTAGAAAATCATCCTTTGTGCTTTTCTATTCTTGAAAAACACATGGAAAATATTGATCAGAAAAGGTTGTTTTTCTTCAAATTCGCTCTTCTTAATAAGCAAAGCAGTAAAAATAATGTTTACATGACATAAGATGTTTGACTTTGCCACTTCAATTCTATTGTTACATCTGAGAGGTCTAATTTAACAGCTTCAAAATCTCAGGGCAAACAATTGACTTCAGCATAAAGCTTCTGAGAATGAAAAAGAGAGTTTTTAGTGCTTATTCCCCATTTCCTTGTTGCAGCAATATATATATTTTTTAAACTTAATTTTTCAATACTGATTCTAAACTGTCTAATGTGATCGAGGAGCATTACTGATGGTGGTCAAGTCAAAAATCACCTGTACTTACAATACAATGTGTGGTCTTGTGTGCCTTTGCAACACAGTATAACTCATATCTATAACCTGAAAATAACCAAAAGTAGAAACATGGTTATTTCACTTGCATGGATATGTACAATGTTGTGGTGAATGCAAAATATTTAGATTTCTCACAAATAGGTCATATTTTTGCACCCATTAAATTACACTTACTTCCCTCATTTTTACACATATAATTTCCTGTAATGTCTGAGACCTGATTCGAATATGGACAGTCAAGTAGATATTTCAGCGAGTTATTTACAATGTGTACCATTAGTTACATGTTTTTGCAGTCACAATAAGATATCAAGTTTTGGAGAGCACATGGTCTGTTTTGAGTTTAAGTTTTAGCTTCTGCTAAGATTGTCAAACAAGATTTCATTTGTTATTAGCCAAACAAAAAATCTACAAACCGAACAAAAAATCAGTTGTTATTTTGCTTTATTCAGCAGATTTATGCATTTGATTTCAGTAAATCATTGCTCATGTAATAACAAAAGTTTACAGTTTAGGGCATGTCCAGTTTTCTTGTTGCCGCTTTCTAGTAGTGAACATTGGATCCCTACATTTCCTACACCAATATTTTCCCACTTTATGCAAATTACACCTCCCCTATATATCACGTTTCACCCTCCTTTTGGCAGTGTATGTAATTTTTGTGTCAGTGTAAACTTCTTCTCTGTGAGTGTCTTTGAGTCTCATATATTCCCTTAGCGTTTGGTTAGTTTTTGTCCAATGTATGTTTGCATTAATTTTTCCCCTCTTAAATGTTAGTAAAGTTTTGTAAAAGTGATTTTTCTGTTCCTTAGGAATTTTACTTCTTCATTTGCACTTTAAAGAGTAGTAGAATTAAATGCTGAGTAAACATGTTGGATTGAAGTGGGCCTGGCTTGCACCTTCATACAGATAGTTACATTGCAATCTGACAAGCAAAAATCTATGATCTGCTTCTATATTCTGTGTATTGATTTAACAATTTATAAATTTCATGTTGCTATGCGCCTGTTCAGTAAAAGATCACAGATTACTTCAGAATGTGGTAAGAAAAAAAAATGGCACACAATTATCACATTTTAATTTCTCTGTAATCTATAACCATACAGACCCATGACTAAATAGAATCTACTTGTTTTACAAATAAAAGCAAAATATGATTAATGCATGGTGACGTTATATAAACATCTATCCGCCACAGAACACAAATAAGAATCCAACAAAATGTACATATTACTCAACTAATTTTATATAATGTCTGATTCATTTCTTACTTCCCCTATTCATTCATTATAGGTTTATGATTGGTCTATGTGGAATGAAAATAAAAGTAGCTAAAAAAATAAAAAACACTGTAAATAATCAGTAAGAGAATCCTTGAATCCATTAAAAAAAGCACCATGCTTAATATAAAAACAGGAATATTTCCCTTACCAAACCCTTGAACATATACCTCAGCTCCTATCAATAATTATCCTTTTTAACTCAGGAGTATTGTTTGTGATTTATATCCAAGCTGCATTCACTGAAGTAATAGTTCCCAATGACTGCTAAGTTATGAGTAATTTTATCATCCCTGAATTTAAAATATTCCTTCTTGTTTCATCCAAAGAAAAATACTTTAAATTACCTTTTATGTAATTGAGGGAGTCCAAAATAACTACATCATCTCTTGAAATAAGCCTTGTAAGAAAAATGAACACATAACTAAATCAGAATTGGGAATTGAACCAAATTAATTTGGGGAGAAAAATGAGTTGGGGATGTAGTAACTGACTTACCATAACAGTTGTTTCATCGCTCATTTCAGCTTATCGCTTAAATATATTTATAATACGTTTCTGAAAATAATTAATGATACTTCTCACTAAGTCAACCGTGATGTTAAAATAAATGGCTACCTTTCCACTGCAGACTTTAAAAGACCTCTTGCTTCCTTTTCATTTGCTGAGGCTGAAACATAAGTTCAAAATGACACCAATTGAAAAATGAGTACATTATTGCACATGGTGTGTCGACCTAATCGATGGCAAGGTCATGTTTGACTTCTTTTGGATTCAGTGAAATGCTACTAAATGTCCCAGTATGCAATCATTTTGCATTTATCGTTATTTACACCGCAATATTTAATTAAGTTAAAATAAATTTAACTTATAATACCTGAATACACAGTATTTCTGTCCAAAGAGCTACTTTCGTCGCTCGCTAAATAGACAGTTTTCCCCCTATTTTCCAAGTAATTCCTTAATTCCTGTGCTCTTTTTGACTTTCCAGAACAAGGAAATCCACACATGATTATTAGTGGCATCTTAAACACATATAATCCGCCAATTTGAAGAGGAGTTCACGACAGTATTTCACAAGACACTTCGGCCGCCATATTGAAACCGGAAAATTTATATATAGACATCATATCCTTATATGGAAATACTCCCTCCAGTGCTCCCGGTCAAACCCATTTCACTTTTCGAACATGGCGGACATTGTGAGCTTCATCAGACTTTGTACATTGCTTCAGCTTGTTGTGTGTCAATTTTGCTGGTGTGATAGTTCTGTTAAAATCCTCGATGATAATTCTTTTGAGCACTTGACTCAAGCCTCAACGGGAGCAACAACTGGAGATTGGTTGATAGTTTTGTAAGTTTTTTATATTTCTTTCTTTCTGTTCAGGAGGATTTGCTATTTTCTTTTCACTGTCTTCGGATAATAATTTAAAACACTAAAATGCTTTTGTTCTTGTCATCTTCATATCCCTAACATGCAGCTCTTTCACTGAACGGGATCCAGAGTGTATACAATGCAAGAAAGCAGATGAGGCAGTTGAGAAAAGTCAAGAACGGTATGTACTCTCGAAGATTATTTGCGCTTCAATATGTTTGTGTTAGTTACTTCCATGGGCTTATAGGTACCATGATTATCATTGATCAGTTTGGTCTCAAATAAATTTGCAAGGGATTTCACTTTCCCTGGATGTTAGTCTTTTTGTTTTGTTTGTTTGTTTGTTTGTTTTTTTCATATTTTTCTGGGAAAAAAGTGTTTACACTTTATTTACCCAAAAACAAATCAACCATCCAAAGCTAAACTGGAGTAATTCTCTATTCAGGGTCCAATCTTCAAATTAATTGCCTGTCCCTGCATCTTCAATCAATACATGTATAAATCTGTTAAATCTGTCAACCAGATAACTGGGTGTCTTTTTAAGGAGTTACACATACAGGTTTTCTTTTTTTTACTTCACATTTTAGGTTGGGCCACAAGTTGAATTTTGCCAGAGTGTTACCACCTAGAAGTAAATGTAAGTTGGAATTTTGTATATCACCTTTTCTAATTTGCAAATGGCAATTTAGTTACTTTGTGAATTTGGCATGATGTTAATTGCCATTATAGGTAGGTTAAGTCTGCCAGTCTATCACTATGTTGGTCAGTCTGATCAGTCTGACACCTAGCCAGGTAATCTGTTAGTCAGTTAGCCAGCTCATTAGGCAATCATCTGTTAAGGCATCCTATTAGCCAGTCAGCCATTAGGCTAGATACTATTGGCAACCATAACAGGGATTTTTAATACTTTAGAATCCACCATTGCTCAGTGAATTATTTACCATTTCATTGTTAGACCCGGCTGATGTCCAACCTTAAACTTTTTGATTTTCAGTGACACTTAGAAGATTCGATGTTCACAAATGGCCAACTGTTCTTCTGTAAGTTCTCCAGAATGATTTTTGACACCAGCAGCTTGATACTAATTAAATAGAGGGTGATCCTTGTATCTTGTTTCAATTCATTAAAAGAGCCTTGGCTTTCTCTTTGGTAAAATGAAACACACTGATAAATAGATTAGCACCCACATTATCACAATTTGCAGCTGTATGTCTATTTGAGTAGAGAAGATTTATTATTGGTAACCATAACTTTGTCATATCCTTTTTGTATAATTAAGGAATTATCATGGAAGGTTATCGTGAACTTAAGGCTCAAATGGTTTAAAACTAGATTAATTAAAATTTACTTTAAAGATGTTGGAAATGATAATAAATTATGCCAGGAACAAAGGAAACTACAAATTGAATAAGTCTGAAATTACTTGCACCTGGTCCTGATTGTCAACACTAAACTTCATCAGATAAATCACTTTTTGGTGAATAGAGCACAGTGCATTTTTTTGACTCTTCTCTGCTGGATAGTGATATACATGTATCCAGTGGATGGCATTTTCCACCCATTTAACAACTAGGCCTTAGAATTTAATTTAAACTATGATGCTCAGACTTGTGGAAAATCTCACAGTTGTGACTTTGAAATGCTGACATCTCTTACCTTGTTTTTAATTTTTTCAGCCTTAAACAGGGCAAACAATATCATTACTCATCAGAGAATCTTGATGCAGAGTCTTTTGTAAATTTTGTCGAAGAAGGTTACAAGCTGGCAGCAGTTACACCAGTACCACCTCCTATAGGAAAATTGTAAGTACCGGTATTAGTTACACTTGTCTACAAATTCATGTTCATATAGTTTTTCAGCTTGGGTATTTCACTTATATCAACTCAGTTGGTAAAACAAAATTATCTTGTAAAACCCATCACAGATGTATCACCTCAGTGTCTTTGGAAATTTACCCCCTGTATAATTAACAATTGAGATAACATATTAGATGGGAAGAAAATGGTAATTCAGGTATACATGGTTGACTTGTGGATTGAGACCGGGCTTTTCACAGTTGATGTGTTTAGCTTCCTTGAAATTTTGTGAACTAATTCAAGGCAGAATCTGAGACCCAGGAAAGCATGTTTTCCAAAATTAAAATTTTTGGTGATGTGAAAAATATCTCTTGTAAAGTAAATTGAAAAGTAAATGATTACCTTCAGCTTTGCGATGTGAAAGAGGAGAGGGAAGGGAGGGACGACTTCTAAAGGCCAGCAAGATATCTTCTAAGGACTATTGGTAACATTTGTAACTTTCACCAGTTAACCCTTTGGCACCTAAGAGTGACCACAATGTAATTTCTCCATACTTTAATACTGCTGATTCATTCTTTGATATAATGAGAATAAAGTAGCTATTAATAGCTAAATCTTAGAAGTTTTGATTGTTAATCAAATTCTCCTTGTCAGTAACAAAAAAATGTATAGAAAAAAGTATGGAGAATATAGAAACTTATGCTTAGGTTTAAAGGGTTTAACTTTCTCTTTAACATTTTTGTTTTGTTTTGTTTTTTTGCTTGTTTGTTTTTTATCATTCAGCGATGTTTTCCTTGAAGAAATCATGGATGATGTAAGGGTAAGTATACAACATTGTCAACATCTTTACTTCTTCGTTCTTAATCATGATTTTTTTCTTAGCATTTCTTTTACTCCATAGGGTACTAGTTAAAATTAGCTACTCCTGAATTTGAGATAAAACATAGCTCTCTTAATGAAATTCATGTAAGGATTAGCAAAGAATTGAACTGGTTTGAAAAACTTTAAACTTAGATAAAATTTTAGCAAATACAAGTTCTGATCTAGTGACTTTGATGAGTGAAATTAATACTTCTTATTCCATCACCAGCACATTATAATGCTGAGAAAAAATGCAGCTGCCATGATTTTTATTGCGGGAATACTGTTTGGTCTAATGATCACACCAGTACTTAAATTGTTGGTGGTATGTCTCTACAACTCGTTCCTACAAGAACCAGACTCAGACCAAAACTTTGAAGATGAGGGTTTGGGAAAAGATGAAGTTGATGAAGATGAAGAGGAAGAGAAGAAAGACAGATGAAATGGCCAACTGTTGTGAACTTGATACATATAATGCTCTATCACATCTCTGAGACCATCTTAGAACTTGGGTTCTATAAGATGTTTATAGACCATATTATTCTAACCAGTCCCAAAGGAGATTATTCTTGCTTACATTGAGGCCTCTAATGAACCTTAGATTGACTTATTACTTCTGTGTTGAATCGTCTCCAGAGACTTATTTATTACTAGTTGTCCAGTATACACATAAAGAAGATCTTTTCATAGCTTTTCTGATAAATTCCAATCAGCACTAGAAAAACGTTATATTTAAGAAACTATGAAACAATTATTTTACAAACAGATTTCATGTTTCCGTGCGTCTATTCAGTAAAAGATCACAGGTAACGTCAAAATATGATCAGAACAAACACGTGGCACATGAGGCGCAGCCTAGTGTGTCACTGATAGTCTTACCATATTTTGAAATCTTTTGTGAACTATTACGGAACAGACCAACGGTAATAAGGAAACTATTTGTTGTATGTTTATTAGAAAGAAGCAAAATTTGTAGATGTTAATGACATCTATACGACTATCCTCGAATAGATCATGAGTAGGAGCCAATCACAAGTTGTGTTTACACTGTTATTTGGCCTATTCTCTAACATAAACAATTATCTAACATAGAGTATGTTTATGGCGTAATATGCAGATAAATTCCTATTAAAACATGACAAACACCTCAGTATCAGTTGTAGAAGTCACTGATCCCTGCCTAGCTCGTCCATATTAATTAATAGCCAACAACTGTCGTGATGATTTTTTCTTTATTGTCGACTTCTTAGCTTTTTTGCACGTGTAAAAACTTTCATCTTTCATATTCGTTGTTTCTGATTAAAGAGAAAAAAAAAAATTCTAGGATCTCAATTTACACGGGAGCTTTCACAATTTTTTACTTCTCCTTTCGGAAGCCCGTTGCTTTCGAAACCTGGTACTAGTGATTTATCATCTGTCAATCGATGAGGACTAAAGAACTTTCAGATGCCATCTTTCAGGCTAAAGTTCACACAGCTTGTCATTGCCGTCATATGACGATTTGTATTTCAAAGCTTCATTTTAAACTAATGCAAAGGTTAGAAATGAGTCGACTCGTGATGTCCATATGCTCCGCAGTCATTTAAGTTATGCGTTAAACTAAGAAAGGTTGGCGAGAGCAACTTTCATTTGGGTATAAAACCCTGTGTTGCGCGTGACTTCTACGCTTCTACTCCGATTTCTCGTACCTGTCATCGCGTCCATTGTCTTAACAGTTTTTACATAGTTGCAGTCAGCCTCATTTGTGATCTGACATAAAAGGTCACATTGATCGTCTATTTTTGACCGCAGTAAGGATCTCCGATACCATGATTAAAGCTATTCCCCCCGCCTCACATGGAAAATGAAATGAAATAAATAATTAAATAAAGGCTTCGGCTAAAAAAGTCAAAAATGTTTTAGTTGAAACCAGCCTTTTTTTCCCTTTTAGAATGGTCTCCGATTTGCCACACGTCCCAGCTAGACCTTACATAACCTCAAATTCTCCAGGGAATACAATTGGCAAGGTAACATAATCAATTGTCCTTTCTTTTTTCACTTTCCCACCCCCTGAGTGAGTAGCTCATGTAAACATGTGCCCAGACATATTTTCTGTATCCTCCATCGAAAACCGGGGCTCTCTGAGTGTTCTTTTAACTCCGAAATGTACCATATGGGCTTTCGTTTCATTAATAACAATCTCGAAACGTTGAATGTTTGCCAAATCACCGCGATATGCGGATAAAGACAGGAAGGGGAGGGTAGGCTATTTATAATGGTTTTCTAATTATTGACTCATTGGAATGCTAATGAGCTTTCTAACGCATACTCACATGTTGTCAAGCTGTAAATAGATCTCACTGAAAATTGTAGCGCATGTCGCATTCACATCGTCTGCAGGGTCTCTTACCGCAGCCATTTCAGTTTTTTTTTCATATTCCTAGCACAATCCATACACAGAAAAATAACCCCATTTTTAACAAGATTTTTACTTCATCGAAGCGCTCTACAAAGAATTTCGTGAGCAGAACCTGAAGGATTATTGCGAGTGTTTACGAGGAAGACAATTTGTTCATGGCGATGAGTTTTGGTTCGTGTTTCGGCGCCCGGTCCCGAGCACCCGAAATGGTAAGTAGCGAATGTAGTCTTCGAAATTACAATTCTCTATTACCAAATTGGCCGAGGTTCCAGTTGATGATTACTTATGTACGTCGCCTTAAGTTGTGTAACCTTCATGGGTACATTATAAATCAACTCTTTTGAAATACTCAGCATATACAGGACCGAGATCTATTCGATCGATATATGTCCAACTTTAAGGAATCTAGCGCCACTGTGTCGGTGGAATGTTTTACGTTAGTAAGTGGCAACATTATGACCGTTTGATATCAAATACTTTGGCAAATATTGTCCATGTTTCGCACATTTCCATTCCTGGAGAGCGTGGCAAATCTTTATTGCGTTCGGTGCTAAATGCTGAGTAAATTCACAGTCATTTGTCGTAATTTTACTTTTATAATGTATCGCTCCAAATAGTACGCCATTTTCTTGCAGTTTGAACTCCAAGGCATAAGGTATAAAGCGAGAAATACTTCGGGAAGGTTCAGGTGTTTTTTCGAACATAACAATCCACCCTGTCAGACTTGTTGCTCTCTGTCACACAATGGCGAATATGGAAATTACATGAATCTGTTAAAATTGTTTTACCCTCTCCAAAGATTTTGTTCAGTTATCGTTCTATATCATTGATTGGACTTTATTTCATGGCTCATTTCGGCTTGGACAAAACAAAACTTAAATTAAATGTCCGCGACGAAGTATTGTGGTTTTCATAATAATTTGGTTGTCAAATTTTCGACTCTAGGTGAGAAACGACCAGATAACGCGGATTTACACGTATCAATCTCCTACCTATTATGGGTTTGAAAGAATCACTAACAACTTCGTACTAATTAAGACGTGTGTGCGAGAGAATGTGTTACAAAATTCCAGAAGAGCTTCGTTCCTTAACAAAATGCCCTGGAGCAAATTTTAGTGACTCTTCGTCAGACCCCCTCGGTGACAAACAGTTTGGAAAAAAGCATGCGTAAGAGCTAACCACTCTTACGAAGTTTTCGATCCTGTTCCGGATACCTTGTGATTGGCTTCGAAGAACTTACTTTGTCATCAATTTCGATTCACATCTGTTTGTCATTTACGCCATGAATTTCCATTTCTGCGCCTTCCGCCAGTAAAGCGTAACATCATTTTGTTGTTTCTCCTTTGAATACCGATAAAAACAACGTTGCTACGTCTGTAAAATGGCGTGTTATTTCAGTTTGTTTTAAAATCCTGTTGGGTTTTCAATATTGGAAGGATACCGTACTTTAGAAAGTGCCAGTTCAGTCTTTAACAATGACATCATTGTGAAAAGTTTGTATAATTTTTCTCCATGATTATTTTGTTCCGCGTATGAATCTGTATGGTTTTTTATGTTCGATGATGTAGCTGTTAGTTTTTGTAAGTTTTGTCAATGCATGCTTCAGTAAACTTCAGGAAACAGTGGTTTGTAATACTTCAAACAACGCAAACCGGAAGTCAACTAGCATGTGACTTCTACTACCCACAATGCTACTGGGTAAGACGACCGCACCCTCGTGGAAGTGTGGGAAGGGAACCGAGGTTGTTTCTCGAATCGTGGAGAGCAATTATGTTTTGAGATAGTCGCGATGACTTTACGTCTGCAGTTTGGGTAAAAAAAACTCTTCGTTGTGGCCAGCATCGGTCAGGATCAACCTGATGAGTAAAATGAGCGAATTGTGGTTGTGCTTTCCTTGCTGTGTCACGGAACAGCCGCCGCCGGTAGATCGAATATGCTCGTCTTTTCTTTCCTTGGTTCGACTAACCATTTCATCGATTCAATATTGCGATCCAAAGACTGAACATTCTCTCTTTATTTGCAGAAAAGACGAAGAATAGACAGAAGTATGATTGGAGAACCCATGGATTTCAAAGTAAGTGCACTATTTTGGCGATTAGTCCTTGCTTTTACGTGCCAGTTCAGATCTAAAGTGGTTAACTTCGAATCTTTGATTTTGATCTGAAGCACACGGGTCACATCGGCAGCGGAGACATGGCTTCTGGATCCGATGTAAGTTAAAATTAACGACATTGTTCTCTCATTAAAACCCTTCTTTGACTTTCTGAGGAAGTAGGCTTTAATTCTTGTTAAGTCATTTATTTACGTTTAACAATTGACTTCGAAATGAACGCAGTTTTGATTCTGTGGCATTCTTGTAAACCAACCTCTTTCGAGTAAAGCTACGAATTTCCTCGTGGCGATACTTGTTGTTCTCTTTCAATTTAAGTTTACTTTATCAATAGCGAGTCTTGACTGAGGGCAGCTACAATCTTACGATGTAAATCTTCTTTTCTTTCTCGTTTTAGCTCGGTTCGATTCAATGTCAAATGCAATCGAAAGGTGGATATCAAGGCATTAGCGTACCAGTAACGTGCACTCCAGCAGGAATTCCAGTGGGCGGGCAGAGTTAATCGCGTATATTCTTGTAGAATACAGTAAGTTCTGCTTTGTTTTTTCCTTTTCGCTTATTTTACGAGAGTGTAAGTAATTAAAGTTCGTTGATGAAATTTATTTGCACTTCAAGCAACTTTGCTCAATCAATTTTCGCTTTCGTTGCATCGCTACTGCCATGCAGATATTTTAACTTTGGTGTTATTTAAGGTTATTTGTGATACTATCAGGCAGTGTTATTGTAAAATTTTTGTATCCGTTATTATTAAAAGAACAGGATGTGTAAAGATATTTCATCTTTATAATGTAATTCCTACGTACACTGTAGGCGAGAATAATTTGACTTCAAGAATTTCAAAACCCATATTTTAGCATTGATTTTATGTTTAAACTCAGCACTAAACTGTCATGAACTCATGAAAAGGACATGTTGAAGAGTTCAGAGGTATACAACATTACTATCATAGATTATGATATGAAGTGTCTCTGGAAGAAAATTTTCTTCCTTTTCAAGTTAAAATATGCATTGTCTGTAGGCAACTCCAAACAATGAGTTTTGATATTGATGTTTCTCCCCTTTGTTCAACTCTCTGAGAATGTGACATATACTTCCCGTGAGAAGGTTGTTCATTAGATGTTAGTGATTGTGGAATATTCAAACCACTAAGTTGACCTCTTGGCTGAATTTTGATGATTTGAAGTCCTTTTTATTCACCTCTAGAAACTAGTATGTGTTAACTTGACCCTGTTCCTCTGTTATTTAATTTCTGAAAATGAAAACTCTGGAACAGGTGTGCAACTGCTCAAATTAAATGATATTCTGGAAAAGGGCTGTGATGCCATTAAAAGGTTGAATTTTCAGCCATTGAACTTAATTGTCTTTGTGTGATATGTAAATCCTCTCATGATTCACTTTAAGTGAAGGCAAGGATTTACAAGAAGGAAGTTATCTTGCTAAAAGTTACATGAGGATGAAAAGGAAATGTGGCATTTTCAAAATGACTTCTCATCAAAATCTTAGATGTCTGTTGTTTCTTTATTATATGCCAGACTCAGATTAAATGCCAACCTTATTTAAATGCAGGGTAAAGCTGCTGCTTTAGAAATAAGATTTATGAGCTGCCTTCTTGAGGCCCCTGGAATTAAAGGAAGTACAGGCCTTTTTACTTGTGGTAAACTGCACTCTTGAAAAGCCCTGTTGGTTATTTTATACACCTAAGTCCGCCAGGGAAAAGTATTATTTGAAGGGATGGTTTTTTTTATATATATTGGATAATGAAAAAAGTTGTACTGCCTTGACTAACTACCCTTTACATATCAGAGAGTAAGCAATTATAATTTATCTTGAAAAATGACTTAGAATTGCACTCAATTTAAAATGTAGAGCCATATAAACCATGGTTTCTCCTGGCTAAGTTTGAAGGGAATACTGGTCGCATCGAATCAAGATATATACAGAACTATTCTACTTGAAGAAAATGTCACATTTAGCAAAATTAAGAGAAGGGGGAGATAAATTAACTTTTAGGATCATTTTTTGGTTTTGTTATGAAAACATTGTTCAGAACAAACCAACAACTAAAGTAATCATGCATAAGGAGTGAGTTATTGTTTTACTTTTGCTGCAAAATAGTACTGCTACATGTACAATGTCTGTGAACATTGCATGTAGAGGAAACTGCACCAGTTTTTGTTTTTTCAGAGTGTGACAAAAAGACCCAAGTGTCTAATGTAGTGCTTTATTAATTGGGCTTTCTTACTGTCCAAACTGATAAGAGTGAATGAATTGCAGACATGGTTACTTTACATACTATACCATTACATTTGAAATACATGCATTCAGGGCTTTTTCACCCAATCAAAATCAGTCAAACATTCTTGCTCTAAGAATAGTGTTTTGGCTCAAAGAATAGAAACCCTCTGTTATTTAAGAGTGTGCATAAGATTATGAAACATGTCTGGGAATGAAGTAATTATTTCGATGTTATCTCGCTTGCACCAGTTGCAAATATTACAGCTAATTTTACTGTAACTTATGTTTACTTGTGGCATCTAATTGTCACCTGTTTTGTTCCACTTTTTTTCAGATTACACTGTTTTTGAGGAATCAACAAAATGAAAAGAAAAGATTTACAGAAGAAGTGGCATAACAATACAAATGTGAAAATAATAGACTTCTAAATGTATTGCAAAGGAGAGAATTGGAGTGGCATGTGATTCCAGTTGTAAATAATAGACCAATTTGAGTAGCGTGGTTTTATATGACATTAGAATTAGTTTCATAATATTATTATAAATACCTAAAGATCTCCCTTAAACTGTTAGCTGTGTATCATAGCTAGCCTAGAATAGTCATCGTACATACAGTTTTTGATTACAACCACTCAGCTTTTTATCTTTTTTTTTTTTGCTCAGGAAATATTTTAATTGTCTCTACCTTGTTACCACTCCATTGTTACACAACCAGTTTTCATTGGTCATTTTCTTCTTACAGTAACAAGAGTACCATCGCTTGGATATGATTATTTGCTATTTTCGTATGATCAACATGCTTCTCATTGTATTTATATTATGAAGAAAAATGTTTGTTGATTTTTGTTTTGCCTAGAGGGTTTTAGAATAACTCGGCATCTTTTGTAGTACCAAACTTGTGAGGAAAATAATCCTTTGCTGCCAAATATTTGATGTTACTGTACATAAATAGTTAAGAAATCAAATTGTGACACAACCCCTTAAATAATGAATGAGGAAGAACATTGAATTGAAGAAGATGTATCTACTAGAAAGAAGCTAAGGAGATTTGCAAAATGTGGATTGGAATTGAATTCAACTTTTGGAATATAGGTAGTAAAATTACTCTTGTGAGGCTTTTTGTGTTTATATTTTTATTTACTTCTGCAAGTCGTCCCAGATGTCTCATTTTTTTTCCTTTTTTTTTTTTCGTCAGTGGTATTTGATTCAAAGCTATTTGTGAATTGATTTGGCAAAAGAAATAACTATCGGGTATAAGTGGGACGGAGTTAAACATGACAGTCAAACCGCCCTCTGTAGAGATGGTTGAATTAGAATACTTGGAGAGAGTTGGGTCGGGAGTAAGGGCGCGACGCAAGCTTCTGTCGATATTGTGGTGTAATATATTTCTAACGTGATGAAGGAAGGTCAATTTGTTTACAACGCAAGAAAACCGGCAAGAATTAAACTACATTCTCAAATAAGTCATATTTCGAATGTTGACGCTTTTTCCTCCATTAGATCGTAATCATAATCATCGATCAAGGGGATTATCGCGACACACGACTTCGCTGACAAGGGTTAATTCGAACTGACAGAAAACCTATGGGGGTTTTACCATTGATACACTTGGCGCGTTAATATTAAACAATTGTAGATGAAATCTTCAAATTTTCTTAAAAATACATAAGATGTAATTGCTAATTTTCATTCGAAGTTTTTTAATCAGAATTTTTTCCGATCACGATGAACAAAGACGAAATTCCACATGATGAGAAAAGACAGATTGATTGGTGATTGAACAATCTTCTACACCCTTTGAATAAAAGGATGAACCGTTTTAAAAAATTGCTGAGTTGCAGTAAGGTTATCAGAACACGCTTTTTAAATATACAGAAGACAAGACAAATAAAAAATTCTGCCCTTTGTGGTGGAGATAAAAATGTAAATTTTATTCAAATTTAGCTTTGTTCGTAAATTTGAATCACCAACGAAAGTGTTTCCTTTTTAACCTGATCGTGTTTCACTCCCGATTGGTTGACTATTTTGACGCGTTGACTTCGCGAACAGAGGTGAAATTGATTAGTTCAAAGTTGAAAGCTGTGAGAAAATAACAAGACCGTTTGGGTATCAAAGGGAAGTTGCAAGGTGCAATGCCGACGTTACGCGAGGCGTTCAACTCTGAGAAACTCACGCCATGTTGGACTATGGTGATATTTTCGTTTATGGTGGCGTTTACGTTGTCTATTTTAGATTTGGCTGTGAATTTAACTGATCTTCATTTACCTGTGGTAATAATGTGGATAGTAACAGTTACTTCTGTTCTTTTCACTGCTGTTTACTGGTGTTATCAGAATTCATCTTTTAAACGCCGGCTCAAGGAAGGATCATGTATGAGATTTGGTCGCGAAAAAGATTTCGAGAAACGATCTCTCTCTCCACGACACAAAGAAGGTAACAGTGAAGAAGAAACGGCAAATTATGGAATGGAAAGCACAACAAGGATTACTCAGGGTGTCTCAAATGAGTAAGCAAAGGGTTTTAAAGAACAACGGAGAAATATCACTCCAGTAAGAACGACATAAGCGTCGAAGATTGATTTTTACACTTGGGCAATAGAAACACCTTTACTAATGAGTTACCCACTAAAACCCACAGGAAAGATCTGGTAAAGAACTCAAATCTGACAAAATGCGCCAAAAAGGTAAAATAACGGTCACTTCCGGCTAAGAACACAATGAATATTATAAAGCCATAAATATTGAAAATAAAAATAATGGCCGGGAGTAAAAAACGATCTTTCCATTTAAATTTCAAGTTAGCGGTGACTTTAAAAACTTGTGGTACTTTTGTCAATTTAAGGCTTAAAAGACTTCATAAAATATCTGATAACAAATGCCAAAGAGTTCCAAAGCGAAAAGAGGTTTGTTGAAATCTCATTTCGCTGGACATAATGATAAATTTGCATTTCAAAATACCATAAAGTGGCTAAATAAAAGGCTGAAAGTAACGTGTCCAGTTTTATCACTACGAATCTGTTTACACAGAGGAGTGAGTCTGCAACTGGTTCTGTAACTTTGTCCTTTTTTGTTTCTTTAGAAACTCGATGTAGAAATGTTTTGCTAATCTTTCTAAAGTTACTGAATTAATCTAAGATAGGATAAATTAAATTTTTGGGGGTTTTTAAAATTTCCCTGACAACGTGTCATTTGAAAAGTTGCACATTTTCGCAAATCATCAAATTTTCAAGGAGGAAGAAGAAGAAGAATGCGAAAAGGAAGCAGAAGAAAAAGAAGAAAATAAAGGAGAAGAAAATAAAGAAGAAGGAAAGGAAGAAGATATCATCTTTTTTTACAACAGAATCACGAAACTTTCTCTTCGCGTCGAAAAAAATATCAAATATGCCATTAACCTCAATTTCTGTTTTCCGTGTGTGAGCACGTTTCGCTTTTTCTTTCCTTTTCTTGGTACAAGTATTTAAAACTGAAAACTGGAGCATTTCGGCCAAAAAATGGATTTGATAAAATTATCAGTGTTTAGTTTAATGGCCTGCTAAAGTCGCCATGCCGCGATACGAGTGGTTTGTTGACGAACCATGAAACGGTTGATAGAGACAGGATTTTGATCCTTTATTTGAACTTGATAGCTTCTAGCTCTTTGTGAGAAGCAGGGGCCTAAAGTCAAAGTGTGGAAATCAAACTAGGTCTGGATTAAGAATCTGAACTACTTGGCTCTGATCTTAGTTGAGATGTGATTCGGTGGATTTGAAATGAAATGAAATAGAGAACTGAGAAGAGAAAGATATTTTTTGTCTTGTCACAAGTTTGGGATAAAGAAAAAATTCTGAACCCATAAGGAATTGAACCGCAGGATGCGCCTTCCAATGCTCCACCACTGAGCCATAGAGACACCCACGTGAACAAGGCTGTTACGAAGTTTCTTATCTGATGCGTCCTGCATACTGCTTGGATCTGCAATGTCCAAAGCGTCGTGTGTGTAAATAAACCTGGAGAATATGAAATATGGTAAATTTAGAAACAGTTGTTACTTGTCTTGGGTGTTCGCTGTAATTATTTTAATGGACTGCCTAGTTTGATAAACACTATTGACGGCTTTGACGGTAGAAAAATTTGGAATTCATATAATATTAATGCTCTTTCGTTGTGTCTGGGCTATAGTCAGTTACAACAAGGTCTCTTCGTTACAATCCTTCTTCCTTTACACTGAAGTTTTTCAAATACATAACAGCCAACTTTGTTTTTCAAAGAAGGATGTACTTTAGAAACTTAATTAATCGTATTTCTCTCAATAACAATTTATTATAAGTTTGATGAAAATATCTGTTTTTTAAGAGTGTCGTTCTCACAAACACACGGCTGAAAATATCCGGTATTGCTACATCTTTCCATATTGGGGGAGTAGTGAAACCACGATTGAAAAAGATTATATCACAAATCAAATTATAACTGAAGGCTATCAATTACTTTTTCATTGCCCTCTTACGTCTCTGTCGCCGGCTCCAATTGGAATGAATTAGGTCACGCAAATCATTTAAACGGATCACGGGTCAGAGATTGTTTCCCTTAAAAAAAAAAAAAGGAAAAACAAAACAAAACAAAAAAGACGGGAAGAAACACAGCCTGAAAGATAAGAAATTAAGATATACAAATAAAAAGCAATTGTGACTGTTAATTAAAAACCCTGATGATTGTAATGTATCACTTTCTGGTTAAATCCCTGTGTTTTTCGTTCGTGATCATCATTATCCTTGCTGAAAGAAAGGCGCATATCCGAGGTTGCTACTTCTTTCCATTTTTGGGAAATAGTGACAGCATCATTAAAACGGGACGATCTCCTGTTTACAATGTTGTTTTACCTGTCATGTATAATGTATCAGTCTGGCACGCGCTCCTTGTCTTCCCCTATTTCTGCTTCCTGCTCCAAACGCGGTTTTGGGATAAATTTTGTCATGAATTCGCATATTGTCTGAATTTCATGAGGTTAATCTTTTTTTCTTCAAAAGCTTAGAATAAAAAAATCGAGAAATAAACAAAGGATGGAAGAAACTAAAACAGAAAAAAGAAAATAAATAAAAAGTAAAGAACAGTTGTAATTGTGAATAGTCCTACGTTTTTCTTGTATATTATACTAGCTATCCTGGCTGGATGAAGGGTTTGCGTATCCCGTGTGGCTGCTTCTTTCCATGTATGGGTAATACCGACTGCATCATTAAAACAGGATGATCTTTAGAAAATGTCTTCGATGTTTTTCTGAACTTTGTATTGCTGATTGATTCATCTAACTCTTCATATCCTGTATTCCTTTCACTGGCCTGATCTATTTTAAAATGACCTTTGTTCTTAGAGATGTATGAAGTATCGCAATGAACTGCCAGCTATCCAATAAAACTGAAAAAAAATCAACATTTTGGAACGCAAAATACGTGTTCGTTTATGATAAATCTGCTTCAGTTTCAGTGATACCACTGGTATCACTCTTTCTTTTCTGATTGGATGATCTCGTCTCCCAGATCCATAAATTTGGAATCCAGATCCATAGAGTCAAGCGAGAACCACTCCAGCCTTCAATCTTGTTATCATAGCAAAAGCGACTAAAGTGTTCACACCATGCTGTCTAAAATGATTCTTGGTGTCTTCATCTCCTTTTCCCTGTTTAACTCACTGGTTATCTGCCAAGGTTCTGTGCAGAGACAAAATCACGCAAGTTCCAAAACGTGCAACATCAATAACAACTTTTATGCTGGACCCAACAAGAAAATCGAAAATCTTCTCTTGGATGTGAAAAAACAACTGAACGACATTCGAAAGGATCTCAACATTTTGCCGCAGAACGAGGGAGACGACACGCAAGGTAAATGTTCCTTTTTCTATCAGATGACTGTGGTTTGTTAAATTAGAAAAGTATCCTTCAAATTGAAGGCGTTTTTTTAGCTGCATGGAATTTTATGTTTTTTCAAGAGCAGCAAAATTTTGCCTGAAATTTAGATTTATGCGCTGTGATCTCTCATTTTAAGATAAAGGTTATTAATCATCGAATTTAGTGATTGCCCATCCCGATCTGTTTGTAAGCATGTACACCATTTACAGATCACCTCGAACCTCGACCTCCAGTTCCTAATATAAGTATGAAAGTTATATCTATTTACGGAAAAATGTCACGAACAAGTTATGCAGACGTTTACCTAATATTCGTTCCTACTGACCTGCAGTTTTGCCGGACAACAAGAATTCTTCTGAGCCGTGTACGTTTGACCAACTTGCGGCGGGAGGAGGAGGAAATACACCCACGGCCAAAAATAAAGGTAAGATTGGATACCTTAGGGATAGTTTTATGTTTTGTCACCTCGGTATTTCAGTTCAATTCAAGCCCCACAAGTCCACTTTTTGAGACACCCATGATTAGCATTAACTACGTTAATTCACGTTGTTTTACTCAGTGATCCGTAAACTCACATTCTCCACTGACATGACGTTAATGGCTGACACGGGAAGGATCACTTTATCGGCACAAGCAAAGTGTATTCCGTTTGAGATTTACTTCCGGAAACGTGTCAGAGCTATTTCGGTTTAAACCCCTGAAGTATCTAATTTTGGATATTACAAAGCTTCGCCGATGTGAAAAAATAGACCGTCGTGTGAACATTTACATTAATGGGAAATTCGAGGTCGGTGGCTTGACAGAAATAAACTGGAATTGTGGTATAGTTTGGATCTTGTCGCAAGAGGAGGGGACAGGGGACTGTCTTTAGTAGATCTATTAAGCTGGCATTCTGTCTGCCACAAGCTATCATTGGATTGGATTGTATTATAGAATCATGCTATACAGCTTTATAATTTTTAAGACTATGGTGTATTAATTAAAGCGAACAGTGTTATGTCTTACAGGGCGTTAGAAGTTGACATGTACATTGGCGTTTAAGTTTTTTTCTTTACTTCCACAATGATTTTCAACCTTATTTGCAGTTATCAAGAAGAATTGTGCCGAGCTGTATAACATTGGTCACAAAACCAGTGGCGTCTATAAAATCGACCCTGATGGCACAGGTGCTTTTCTCGTGTATTGTGACCAAAAGACAGCCGGTGGCGGTTGGACGGTGTTCCAAAAGAGGATGGACGGCTCTGTCAATTTCTACCTCGGTTGGGAGGACTACAAGAATGGTTTTGGTAATCTGAGTAGCGAGTTTTGGCTTGGATTGGACAAGATACATCGCCTGACCCTCAGCGACTGGAACAAGGTTCGCGTTGATCTGAGGGATGAAGATGGAACTAAAGTCCACGCCGAATATGAATTGTTTGCAGTTGCAAGCGAGAAGAACAACTACAAGTTGAGCCTCGGATCATATTCAGGTTTATTTTGCTTAAGGACCGTTCTTAATTTAGGGGGGGGGGGGGGAGGGCTCGTAAGAGTTTTGTTGTGTCTTGATAAAATTTACTTGATCTGCTCACAAGGCTCAATAATATTCTTATCATAAACCTCCCTTCCCCCCCCCCTACCCCCACCCATTGACGGTTAATTGGCTACAATTTTCTATAGTCGTTTCTTTGCATTCTGTTAGCAATGATTGCTCGCCATTCCTTTCCCTTTGTAAACTATGCGATCCCCAAATCTTGCATCCCCCTTCCCCGGGCGAGTATAGCTCTTGCGACAAAGTCAAACTTCAAAAACGAATCCTCAATTTTATAACATGACCCGTACGGCCCAGCGCGCGAGGCCATAGAAACCGTATTATGAAAACGTACGTGAGCCGGTCCGGAAAAAGCCGGCCGGTCCTGCACTTCCACAACATTGTTGAAAAAACTTAAAGAAGTTCCGTTTTTGCATTTTTGTGGTTCTGACTCGAAAAGACAAAGGAAAAATTTGTTTGTTGTAGAGTCTTTTTTGTGGTTGTCCCGCGAGTGCCCGTCTATCGCATGCTATCCACTTTTTTGTAAATTAAAACAAAATTTTCAAAGTCAAGTAGTGGTCAATGCTAAAATGCGTTATTGTCTGAGTGGGAGGGCTGTACGGAAAAACATTTGGCTCGAGGTCATGACGCATAGACCGAGTGTTGACAGAATAAATTATAGGGACGAATTTTCAAAAGGAAAGTACAATAGCGGCTATGTTTCACCTTCACGCAATGACAAAAAAGGTATTTTCCTTTAGTGTGATATGTACATACCTCATCTATCGCCTTTTTTTTTATGAGGAAACAAAAGTTATATAAATCTCATGTATATTTTCAATATATATATATATATATATTTTTTTTTTTTTTTTTTTTCACAGGGACGGCAGGCGACGCCCTAACCTATCACAATGGAATGACCTTCACCACTAAAGATAAGGATAATGACGCCCACAAGGAAAACTGTGCACTAAAGCATAACGGAGCTTGGTGGTACAGAGGATGTGCGTATTCCAACCTGAATGGTTTGCATCATATTGGCACACATGCATATGTCACTGATGGGATTTTTTGGAGAACCTGGAAGGGATACCAAAATTCAGTTGCAAAAGCTGAGATGAAAATCAAACCAGTCAAGTTTTAAAAACCGAAATATAATAGATTTGCATTTATCATATTTTTGGTTTCTTAAGCTTGAAGGCATTGAAGACCAAGTTCGATTAACATTCTGAAATTACAACTTTTGTTAGAGTATTGCTTAAAATAATGCAATTAGGCATGGCATTTAAGTAGAGTTTTTATCGAGCCTTAAGCGTTTGGGAAATAATTAATGATAAGCATAAGTAGAAGAATGATAAAGAAGGCGACATCTCGCCTTTACTAGGGGGTTGTAAACTCCTAAAATATAACATGTGTGAATTATGATTTTTAATTCCTTATCAGAGAGATGTTGTGCATTTTAAATAAAAATATGTTAAAAAATGCTTCCGGCTCAGTTTTCGCAAATAGTCACGGTCGTTGCTTCATCTTTTCACACTTAACACCATCGTCTATTTCCGGGGGTAAACAATTAGAAGCTTCAAACGTTATTTTTCATGGTTCGATTGAAATTAAATGAAGTAAAACTTATGGGGAAACACACGATAACATTTAAAAAAATACTCCTGCCAAAAGTGGTCCTTACGATTTCCCAAACGAAAAGATTTTCCCTAGTTGCACATGTTTTCTGTTTTTCCTTCAGTGAGAATGGAAAAGGCTTGTCTTATGTAGGCAGAGGACACAAAAAAGGGCTACTCTTATCAAAGCAGGAATCTATAGATTAATAATCTCTTTATCAGAGATGATCCACTTTTCTTGATTTCTTGATTTTGTTTTTTCATTCTGATTGATTTGGTGGCCCATTTGAGCTGAGACAATTAGGCTTTCGTGATTACCGTGTGTTGAACTGTCACTATGGCGCCTGGAGTATAATCTAACCTAAGAGTGCGGCAAAAGTCGAAATTGACCATTCGTGCAGTCGCCCACCGAATTTTCCAAGCAAAGACTGGTGTCCAGGAATAGGCATAGCTAGAAATTGATTGGGAATACTGGAGTTGAAATTCATGCTTGTGTTTCATTTTTTCTAATTCCACCAAAAGAAGAGTGACCTGTGGTGAAAGTGTCACTTATGCCCTTGCATGCAGCTTAACGAACGTGATGTCCTCTATTGATTCATTGCCAAAGTAAATATCATAATGATTTTACTTTATTGTCAAAAACACATCCGCAGATTCATGTCTAAACATGAAAAAAAATTTTCGATAAATACCTATGACTTCGTTTCTGTTTTTCAATTGACGCGACTGAGCCGCAAATGAAGGCATATAACCGATTCTTTGTATAGAACTCGGCGAAAATGATTGTAATCCTCATTCTCTGGGTTAATGTACTGTCCTATGTTTTGGTCAGCTCCCAAGATTCAGTGACAAAACGAAAAGAAAATCCTTCATGCAACATCAACAACTACAACAGCTTCTACGCAGGGCCGAACAAAAAGCTGGAAAATATTATCTTGGACATGAAGAGACAACTGGACGAGATTCGGGAGGAACTGAAGAATCTGACAGAGAAGGACGTGAACAGTGATAAAGGTAAACTGAAGTTCTTAAACTGAAAAAGAAAAATTATTTTTTGTTCATGAACTTTTCCTTTCGAAAATTATCATACTGCTGTTGGAAGTTCGACGACACCACAGCTCACTATAACTCTAACCATCACGGCTTTCTCTTCGCCTGTCACCGCCTGCCTTTACACGCACGTAAACTGGCGATGTATACGTGATGCAAATTAATTAGATTGCACGCAATCTTACCGATGACCATGAACAGAATAGAGGTAAATTAAAAACAGCATGAGAACTCCGGAGTCCAGAATATCGTGGTAATTAATTTTAGGCGACTTTCCTCGTTTTGTTGAGCTTCGTTAAACAACAGGTTATACACTCCGCGCCTTCTTTACTAGTAATCAGTCTTAATTTTTGTCGTCAGTTCTAGATCTGTGCTCGTTTTCTCAGCTTTAATGAAAATGTCGCAGAAATACTATTCTTTCGTTAATTTTTTTCTTTCTCATCACAAGACTTGCCTTACAATAAAAACTGTGCTGAGCTTTACAAATCTGGTAAAACAGTGAGTGGAGTTTATACGATCAACCCCGATGGTTCAAGTGCCGGTGCCTTTGATGTATACTGTGATCAGAAAACATCTGGCGGGGGCTGGACAGTGTTTCAGAAGAGACTGGACGGCTCCGTTAATTTTTACCGAGGGTGGAATGATTACAAAAAAGGCTTTGGTAATCTGTATGGCGAGTTTTGGCTTGGACTGGACAAGATAAACCGCTTAACGAGCAGTGACAGATACAAGCTGCGTGTTGATCTAGAAGACACCGAAGGAAAAACAGCCTATGCAGAATATAGCTTGTTCGCTATCACGAGCGAGAGGACTAAGTACCAGCTAAGTCTCGGAAGCTATTCAGGTTGGATATGAACTATAAACTGACAGTAAGAAATTATTATTTTCTGTCACTGTAGTATAATTATTATATTTTCTGACGGGCCAATCTTTTTCATTTTCTTTTAGGAACTGCAGGTGATTCTCTCTCTCTTCATCGAGGCCAGCCATTTTCAACCAGAGACCAGGACAATGACAGCTGGGACTTAAACTGTGCTGTTCTATATAAAGGAGCTTGGTGGTATAAGGACTGCCATCACGCCAACCTAAATGGTCTGTATCATCACGGGAAACACTCGTCAAACGCTGATGGTGTCAACTGGTATCACTGGAAAGGACACAGTTATTCCGTCAGAAGAGCTGAAATGAAAATCAAGCCCGTAAACTCTTAAATCATCATCATTCATCAGTCTTTTCCTTTTCATTTAGCCGATCAGGAGCATGAGCTGAGCGGAAGTGACGCAAAGTCAAACGGCCTTTGCAATGTGCCTTTGCGTGACTTCCGCTCAGAGAAAAGGAAACTGGAGAAACTGCTAACAGGCTGCCTCAATACCAAATAGTTAGTAAAACAAGTGGATGAAATTTTAACAAGCAATTTGATTATAATGCGTGATGGTCATAGACTTCAAGTGATGTAACATCAATGACGTAAAATCGTTGTAGAAATATAGAGGAACATATGAGTTCTGGTAAGAGATGCGAATGCCAGCGCGGAAACACGAAGCTGAGCAGATTGTAACTTAGAAAATAAAAAACCGTTTCAAATCCATCCAATCTGTTCTTAACGTGTCGTAGAAACACATAGTAACATCTCATTACGTGACTGTACATGTGTGTTTCCCCGGCTGCTGTTTGGAACTCTCTACTGACAATTGCTGAAGATATTTCGAGTATTTCATTTCCCAATCTGACCAGTAAATGACGTTCAATTATCAAATGAAAACTTTTTTATGTTATGTCACAGGCTCATTCATCTCCAAGTAGCAAATTAGGCCGGGTGAAAATCAACATCTCTCCCACACTTCTCAGTTACTTTGATAATTCATTTACAGCTGAAAAATACAACCCTGGATAAAATCGTGATTGGTTCATATTTTTGTCTCATTTACCTCATTTAATGTAGGCTTCATAAATTCTTCTCAAAGCTTTTCGTGAATAACTCAATCACGGCGAGAAATTATGCAGAGCTAAATCCAAAACAGATGGGTTTTGCTTGCCCCTGCTTTTGGAAACATAATTGTAATTGGCTCCTAAAAACATCGATTTAGTCTGCAGTTTTCCGTTATGGTAGACGATCTTAAGGTTTCTGAAGGGAGGGGATAGCTACTTTGCAACCTTCTCTGTACTTCTTCTTTTGAATGTCAAGTTTTCAGTGAAGTTTTCAACTATTCTTTAATGTAAGCGTTTACTTCTCTAGGCCCTGACTTAGCATTTCATCACAAAAGCGCTCATTTTCCGGGAGCGTGATTTTTCTCAGGGGAGAAAATAGCAAGGGTAAAGCCAGACATTGGCGCTTCTCTGCGGAATGCGTTTCATTTTGGGTCAGAACCCAATTATGATTACAGCTGGTTTGGCTACATTTCGAGTTCGCTTGGCTAGCTGATGTAGAAAACTCGACATACAATGAATTATCTTCTAGCGGACAGTCTTGTTAGCGGAAAGCTCTACTTACGGACACTTTTTTCAATTTCCCTTTTTTCCTCCCAGTCAAACTCTGTATTTACACATCTCCGTAAACGAACACTTTTGAGAGTGAAAATTAGATTTTTCTTTTGACCTCTGACAGAGAAACAGAACAGTGGATATGGGTTTTGTCAAATTTCCATTTGTTCGCGGGAAAGCAAGCTGTATGTTCGTTCGTATGTATTACTATAGTGTTATACTGCAGAGTCACGTTACTTTCCTTCTTGTCTCTCCCGAAAGCGGAGTTCCACCTTACTTCAATTAGCTTAGCTCTACTAGCGAACACTTTTTCCAATTCCCGCGGTTGTCCTCTCAGCAGACTGTTGACTGTATAATATCCTCTCGATTAGCAATTTTATTCGTAAAATCTTTAAACTGGAATAGTTGTGGGATAAGGTGACATCACTTGGCAGAGGCTTCCAAACCTTCAGACATCGGCTAAGGATTGTAAACTGCTTTATATTAATCAGCTCTATATAAATGCGGACGATGGTTACCGGCATGTCGTGCATTGTACATGTGAACTTAATGATGGGTAGAAAAAATAGTATAAAAAGTATTTAAAAGGAAGTTATTATGATAAGAATGCATGAAATAAGCAAAAAGGAAAGAGTTATTGTTGAATATATCGAGGATATTTCGAGTGTAAAACTAGGGCGCGGTATGAACATCATTGATCTTATATTGCCTTGCGTTGTTTGTTTGTTTGTTTTTTTCATTGGTGGAATTTCGTCGGAGGAGCTTCTTGTCGAGTAAAGTAAACAGAATAGGAGAGGTGAGCATACGTTCCAGGTTTGTCACGTTCATTAAGGTCTGTTTGAGGTTCAGGAAAAAAATCCAGGAAGTACTTGCAAGTCCTAACCCTGAGTTTAGTTGTGCAATTCTGGTCAGCGTACTTTTTTGTAACCGCTCAGGACCGGAATTCTCTGATTAGGGGAAAGATCTAGGAAACAGTCATTTCAGGACAATTTTATTTCATCAAAGCTCGCCAACAACCTACCTTTATATACTTTGGGTTAGTATTTTACAAAAGATACAATACGATCATCTTATTCCCATAGAAGAAATCAACATGATATCAAATTTTGATGTTACACATATTTCCTCTGAAAGCATGGTCCTTGGAGACCCAGGGGGTGTGAAGAGTACCTGTACGAGTACGTAATGTGTTTGGGGTCACAGATTTTTTTTCGGAATTTACTTTAGTTCGTACAATCGGTCTTCACCTTAAACATTCAAATTTGTATCTTAAAACTTCCTTTGAAAGTGTGCACCAATCATCGCTGGACAAAGGAATACAACCATTCGAGTTCAATTGTAAATCCACCACTATTGCGTATCACTTCGATTGTTCACGATCTCATGTGAAACACGAGCCGTGGGAAAGGTTAAAGGTCATTAGCGGCTGTATCCATCCGTCCTCGCAACCTTCAAGTGTAGCGGACGAGAATACTCGTGTGCATCTCAAAGAACGTAAATGCGTTAACAATCTTTCTTCCCTCTCAACTCAACAGTAACTCTGGTATGCTGCAGCATTAAACTGTATGGCTCGATTTGTCCTCAATGCTGCGCGCAGTGGATCTACATATTAGGCATTTTGTTTAAGTTAATCCTCGTCTTTTTTTTGTCTGAATTTTTCATGCAATGAAATGTTTACATACGGAATGATAAGGCTGTTTTGATCGTCTGGACTAGCAGAAGATCCTGGTAAGTTATCCGGGTTAGTCGATAAGACTGGGTTTTGACCAGATTGCATAACTTTCTAGTGTCGGTACGTTATATCAAGCGGAATCAATGGAACCCTATATGAACGCCTTGCTCGACAGAACATATAAATACAGGCGAACATTTTGTGAGATGCGTAATGATGAAAAGATTTTCATTAGAATCCTATGTTAGACAAGCGAATAAGACTCAAATTCTTAATTCCAATAGAATTTCATTTTTAAACGCATACAGCGACGCGAGGCCTGCGTAGAAGACGAAAACAGATTTTTTGAAGGTCAAGCTTATAGGGTGTAACTAAAGTCAGAGTTTGAATTGTTTAGTGCGGAAATTTCAAGTGGGTAATTGGTCTCTTTGACTTTTCGGTTTTGACATTTTTCAAAATTAGATCTGCCCTACCGTAAGAACTGTGCTGAACTCCACAAATTTTGGTAAAGCAGTAAGCAGTGTTTATTCAATCGACCCTGATATTTCGGGTACCTATGATATATATTGCGACCAGAAAACGGTTAGTGGGAGCTGGACAGTGCTCCAGAAGAGACTGGATGGCTCCGTTGCTTCCTACCACAGGTGGAAGGCGTACAAAAATGGCCTTGGTAACCAGAAAGGCGAGAAAAGATAAACCGCCTGACAAGTAATGACAGCTATAAGCTGCGTGTTGACCTGGAAGACACCAAAGGAAACACAGCATATGCAGAATGCGACGTGTCCGCTGTCCCAGAGGAGAGAACCGAGTACCAGCTTTTCCTTGAGCCTGAGACGGAAATATATTTTTTTATGCACTGGGCTAATTCTACACGCATTGATTGTGTTCAGCAATAGACAACAGGCGTCGTCAAGATAAACGAGAATATTACAAACATAATCGGCTGCGCCTCATGTTTTGGATGCTTTCTGTGAACTATTACTGTACAGATGCACGAGAAAAATGCAATTTGTGTGCTCTAGTTGTTAAATAATGATAACATTACGAAAATGACGACATTACGATACAAAATACCGAGAGGACATTAGCTTATAAACGGGTTACTCTCTTTGAGAGAAAGGTATAATCACTGATTGTTTTTCCCAAGAACTCAACATCGAGGCAAATCCTTTTCGACCCCAGAAAGAGACATTGATCGGTATTGCCCCAACAATTGTGCTGTAATGTACAAAGGAACGTGGTAGTTCGATATCTGTCATGACTAATTAAGACGCCAGAAGGGAAACGCAAGCGGGGTCGCCCCAAGATCACATAGCGACGGACAGTTGAGAAGGAAATAAAGGAGATGGGGAAGACCTGGGAGGGCATCAAGTTCATGGCAAGGGATCGCCAGATGTGGAGGGAACACGTTGCTGCCCTACATGCCTGCTAGGCGTAAAGGGCATGATGATGATGATGATGATCAAAATCTTGCGCACGAAGGTGTTTATTGATTTCATGAGTAATGCAAATGCAAATGATATTATTATTGCAAAACAAACATGTCGTAAGTAGACGAATCTATGCGGTTGTCATCTTTTCAGCCTTGAAGTCTGAAAAGGGGCGGGGTTTTCAGGGGTATAAGAACAAGTAAAAAAATTACCATACTGGCCAGTTCACTGTGGCAAAGAAGAGACAGCGATTTGGAGAGGAAAACAAAAAAATTTTCACTTTTTGCACATAAAGGTTATTAATATGAAATTTGTGATGAGAATTTTTGCACAAATAGACAAAGAATTTAAATGAATTAATTAATCAGAAAAGAAAAATGGATGAATACTTTGATATCAACAGCATATGCCAACGATTATGATATTTCTTTAACACAGTGCTTGTAATTGTCATTATCTCGATCACTGTGGTATTTTAATTGAATAAAATAAATAAAAGATATCACAGTAATAATGATAACGACGCACGGCGGTTTACGGCCACAGAAAATGTTACGAATTAACTCTGAACGGTCAGTTTCTCTTCGGACGACAGTCATTAAACTGGTGGTTTCACTGGAAAGGCTAGTCCAAACAAGGATCTGGGAAGAAAACTGGGATCAGGTGAGCAAAATTTATAGCGATTAAAGGTGTGCCTTGATGCATAGCTCACTCATGAACCCAACTTGATAATGCTTCAGCGAGGATAACGAATGTAACGAACTTATGGCAACATTTTAGCCCATATATCCTTCTCAAAATTTGCCGACACTTGGTTTTTAATACCAAATGTCGTAAGGTTTATTCATAACAATAAGGAAGGAAGAATTTGCCCACAAGAAAACCTCTCTGCTATGATGCAACGCTGTGTTAACAGAGTAAAATCTCTGCACAATTCTCTGAAAGACTATATTTTGTGCCATATTTCTTAGCTAAAACAATCATTGTGGTAAATGATCAAATAATTTTCTCTAAACAAGCCTTGGGGTCTATTATGTTAGATATCTGCAAGGGACTTCGGCGTTGGTACATGTTTGACCAGCTTAGCAAGACTGAAAGACGTGCAAGAGTCGAGAGAGGACAGACCAGAACAGGACGAGCAAACTTTTAAATCTTTCTTGCTACAATCATTTTAATCCCTACAATTTGCAATTTCTTTAATTTAGCGAATAGATACGAAAACAGGCGTTGGCCAGACATTTTGCATGCATAGGATAAGGAAGTTCTTGTTGGCAAGGTTATCGTTGCTGAAAATAAGATTTTTCAGATATGAAAACTAATCAAAAAGCTAAACTGCATTGCTCTGTTTTTCCGGATGGCCTGACCAAATATCTGTCGTTAGTTGGGTTTTTGTTTTCATTCATAGGGACATTTTGCAATTAGTGAGACGTTTGAAAGACCAATATTTACCATAGCATTAAAGCTGTTCAAAAGCTGCTGGATCAACATGATCGCCTAACGTTTTATTCTTGTTCTTGCACTAAGTAGACTTGAAGAAATGAATTCCTGGTGGCTTATTTTATTATTTTCTGCACTGAAAGCTCAGGCGGGGTTGCATCGACCCGAAGGTATCGTAAAGATATTATTCGATACAAAGGCAGCGTGGATGATCTTTCCTTATTTAGGAAAGATTACCAAATCATCATGAGAATTCTAAAAAAAGATCTCAGGCCTGTATTAGTGGAATGCAAACTGTAAAGATGAAAAAAGAAATTTGTTTTCTTTTTGCGTTTCATTAGCCAGAAATGTTCGTGCCTACTCTTCCATCAATAAGTCAAAAGGATATATTTCGAATGAAAAATGAACATATGGATTTCGATAAATGAAGATATGCAAGCTGGCAAAGCGGACTTCACATTCAGAGAGATAATCGAAGGCTTTTTGTCCGAAAACTTCTTCACGAAAACAATTTTTCAGTCACTATGTATCTCAATGTGGAGTCTCTTATTCGCTTTCTTTTCACATTTAATCACCCGAACGTTCGTCTCTCAGCTGTAAAAACTTGATGATTGGAGGAATAGACGTAAGAAGAAAAGATTGGATCATTTACACTTGAAATCTAGCGATAAAGAGCGTTCTTCATGCCGAAATGCTTATGTAATCGATGAAAAATCGCTTTTTTACAGAAAATATTGGTGTGGAGGATAAACGTCTGTTTGAGGGTGACATGATCCTCACAGACGCTCAAAGGATGGCGGCCGCTCTCGGAGAAGATGTCAGCAAAGCAGGGCTGGGACGTGCGTCCATCAGAAAGAACCTATGGCCCGGGGCGGTTCTTGTGTATGAGTTGGATTCTGCAATAAGTAGGTAGCGATGCCTTATTAATTTGCTTTTCATCGTCAGAAAAATAAGTGTTTCATCGTGATGTAGACCTAGAAAAAAACCAGCATTTACTTAACATCGAGTTTTCAAGGTCCATAACATGAGTTTTAACAACTGCGCAGAAAATATAAATTATTTTGAATAGGAAGGGACTTGAGTCAATGACTCCAATATCTATAACTGTAATTTAGTTATCTCGTGTTTTCCTGTGAAGCAAGGCCAAGGTAAATTTGGAGCGAAACCTTAAAGCTCTTCGGCTGTTTTGCAAAAGATTCGACTAGAAGATGGAGAAAACTTTGGAAAGATGTGGAAAAACCAAACATTTCTATAAAAGGGAAATAAAATTAAAAGCTGCATGTGTCTTCAATAAAGCGTTTTGGGTGATAAGGGAACCATTGGGTAGGCACGCTGGTTTTCAAAGGACCTGGGTTCAAATCTCACCTGGAGTATCTGTGCTGAGTTTCTTGGTGATGCACTCCTCTCTCCATGCAGGAGTGTATTAGCACAAGTGGAAGAAAACCTGATGCAATGTTGATGGGTAATTGACCGAGTGTCCCAGCTGGGAGAAATAACAATTTCTGTATGGGACTTGACTGCAGTATATGGCTTCTAATTAAGGAGAGTTAATGGAAACTCGCGATCGCTAGCGCTTATTCGACCAGCCTTGATTGATTTGGAGTTAGAGTGGATGCGATGTGGTGGGTGGAAAGGGCGGGGAAAGTCGAAAAGACGCCTGCCGAAGAGGCTGTTTCAAAAAAAGCGAACCACCCTCTTTCAAAAAAGAACCAAACCCTGCTCGGTGGGAGAATATATTTTAGTGTTACGCGTCAAAACGTACATTTCCACCGAAAATGAAAAAAGCAACGTTTCGACCAACCAGGTCTGTTTCAAAAAACGTTTTCAACCCAGTTGTTAACACTAAATTACCTGCCACCCTCTTATTAGTTACGCGTCACTACATTTCCGGAAAATGAGCCAGTAACCAACCAAAAATGAGTTAATTTAAAAACCGGAAGCACTGTCTACGGAGAGCCAATAGGGACTTTAAGCAACAAGAACGGGGACGGCGACGGGGACTCCAAAACCCGCAAAAAGACTGCGGAGAGAACGCCGTTGTGGCGGGAATTTCTAAACAGTTAAGCAGCCGTTACAAAAACGCCGCTTATGATGTCTTTGAAAGAAGTCCGAAATCAACTTTTGATTGGCCACGATGATGGTGTGATAAACGATGGGGAACTTCTACTCCTGTACGATTTAAACAGGTCCGATAATGTTGATCTTCCGCACAACTCTTACCCTGGTTTTGACTTCAATGATTTGGAAGACGACGAGTGCCTTTCAGAGTTTCGCTTCTACAAGAACGACTTACCATTTCTGACTGAAGTATTGGAGATTCCTGAGGTAGTGGAGTTCTATCAAAGAAGTATCTGTAGCGGATTGGAGGCTCTTTGCATTTTACTAAAGAGACATAGCTATCCTTGTCAATATTCAGACATGATAGCTTGCTTTGGGAAGCCTGTTCCAGTGTTATGCATTATAAACAACTACATGATCGACTACATCTACCAGGCACCCAGTCACAGAATTTTGCAATGGAATGATAGCATCCTACAAAGTAAATTGAAAGAAAATATTCTCTGTAGATGTTTGTCGACTGGCGCGACAAAATTCTTCAAAATTGTGCTGGCAGATAAAAAAGCCAAAACGGCTACATAAGTCGTAGTGCTGTCTGCCCTTTTAAATCTGTTAAGAATATCTTCTTTGTCAAACTGTTTGACTCTTGAGTGGTTCTCAGCGGCGAATTTTCTATTGGTATCAGTCTGAGCCAAGCTTATTTACATTACATTTCTTACTCACATTTTCGTCAAATGGTGTCGATCTCGATCAGCGTCTCGACGTTCCTGTTAAAAAACAAACCATCAAATTAAAGAATAATCTCACTTTATGAAAGAAAAAAGCGATGAAAGTTATTTTAAATTGTCTCCCGGGAATATTTAGCATTTATATAGCAGAGAAGGCGAAAAAGAATACTCACGTTGTCAGCCAACGTCAAAGTGACTCGTTTCACGTCGGGGCCGAACGCAGAACGTCAAACTTTTTCCCGCCAGTCATGCGCAGATGATTATTTGGATTTTTCCTGAGAGCCTGCGGTCCCCGTCGCCGTCCCCGTTCTCGTTGCTTAAAGTCCCCAGTGAGTGAAATAGGACTGAAGGCAGTTTTTTTCAGCCAGGAAAGAAATGGAAAAAAAAAACCTCCTCTGCGATCACAAGTATAAGCTGACATTTGCTTCTTTCTATATTTTCCAAACCACAATCCTTCAGTGTAGCTGGTGTTAATCTGTCTGACAATGTTTCTTCCATTTTTTACGTAAACGATACTTTGAAGCGCACAAACAAAGGCACTCGAAGGGTTATCCGACATTCTTTGTTTGATGCGATCCCGCATCTGAAATATCAAGCTTTTCCTTAATTATGTTCCGATAAACACTTGAGAGATTCTTCTAGTCCGTCTATAGCCGCTTCATGCCCGCGTGGGTTAAGTTTCTTCGAGAGCGAAATCGAAATTGACAATTTCGTCTTTGACAAAGGTCACTATCTTTTATATTTCCTGCAAGAGTGGTATGAAGCAGTTTGGTTTGTAATTGAGATGGTAGAGCAAAACCATACCAATCGGAAACTCCCCCCACCGCTCCCCTCTCCCTCTTTTTGATCTTTACTCATCCCCTTGGTACAAATTTATTTCTCTCCCCAGCCCTCCGCTGCTGTAAAAATCAAAGATGGCAGCTATAACTTTTACCAAGATAGTGTTAAGCACTCGCCCGCAAAAATTACGCTTGCTCTACAGGCTAGTTTGGGACATCCAGGAAAGTTCAGTTAGCATGGCCAACTTGATTCGCACAGCATTTTTTGCCTCGTAACCGATAGAGAACTGATGTTTAATTTACTGTATCTACAGAGAGAAGTTCTACAGCTATGGCAGCAATAAATGCTGCCATGAATTTATGGCGTACAAAGACTTGTGTGCAGTTTAAGAAAAAGACGACAGAAAGCGCATATGCCTATTTTCACATCGGTCGAGGGTGAGAATAAAGGCTAATTTTACATGAAACTATGTTAACCCCATAAGGTGACCTTTACATCTCAGAAAGAAGGAGAGCTCGTTTGAAAGAGAGAAATTCTTGACCTTTTCTTTCCACTGACCGGATGGGACAAGCAGAGATCAGAAAAATAGTTATCAAATAAATGTTTATCATCACTGCCAAATGCGCAAAATTATGTTCTCGAGAGCATTCGTTATTGCTGTTCGACTGAATCCCTTTGATAACCATCTGCAGAAATCATCTGATTATTAGGTATTTTGTTCATTTTCTTTTATTTACCATGATACTTTAAAATGGTTTTCAGAACTTCCTTGTCAAATAATTAGCTGTATTAACTGAAACATCTCGAAGCTCCACCATGGAATATTCTCGAAAAATGTCTTGCTTTTGGGTGTAATTTTTTTCCTCAGGTGTACCTCGTACGTGGGACGAACAGGGAGACGACAGATGATATCGCTCGCTAGGGGATGCTGGTACACACATACTGTGGCACACGAGATCGGTACGCTGAACATGAACTCAAACTTCCTTTTGTCGAGAGAACATTAACGCGTAGATCTTTTGCGTAAGGTTATCCTTCTTGATGCTTCACAAGAAAAAAAAACAATGTTTAAAACTTTTCATAACTTCTGGATGACTTCATGTTATCCTTAGCAAAAAGGCAGTACAGGAACAAGAGCGTTTAATGTTGCATAGCTGTAAACTAAGCATGGAAAGTTACTACTCAGCCTCAATAAAATGTTTGGGGTAAATAGAGTCCGTTTGAGTGTAAACTTTCTTTCTCATAAAGAGCAGCTCAGAAATTAAGCACTTGAGTTGACAATGACAAGTGAAACGACTTTAAACCAAATTAGATTTCTAAGAGTGATTGCAGTGACTAAATTCGAAGCAAATGCCTCTGAAAGGTGACACACGATTTGCTGCGCAGTGTGTCCTGACAATAGTGAACCATATTTACCATTTTCCCCCTTCTCCTGTAGGTCATGCGTTGGGATTCTATCATGAACAGTCCCGCCCTGATCGCGACGATTTCGTCACGATTAACTGGCAAAATATACAAAATGGAAAGTATCATTTATTGTCTAACTTAATTCAACGTACGCCTTAAAATATACTGCAAATAATTTTTAGGGGATAAATTGGTTACTAAAGATAACCTTTTTCTTTCCACGCATTTCTTTTATTAGGGCTTGCCTATGCTTTTAATAAGTATCCCCGCTCCACGATTGATTCCCTGGGCACCCAATACGACTACAGGAGTGTGATGCATTATGAAAGCTACGCGTTCAGTAGAAACCGGAGACCAACTATTGTGGCTAAAAAACAAGGAGTAAGGATGATTAAAGTGATATTTATCCTTCCTAAGAAGCTCTGTTCAGTGCTTAATCTCAATGATTTTACTCCGGCAACTAACTGGAACTGCTACCTCGTCTTTCCGTAGGTTACTTTAAGTAACAGGAATGGTCCAACAGAAATAGATGTAAAACAGATGAACCTTCTGTACAAATGCAGTGGAGGTGGCGGTGGCGGTGGCGGTGGTGGCGGTGGAGGGGGAGGGGTCGGTACGTTATGCACTGCATCCTTAGAGATCTTATCGTATTCCTAATGAACTTACTTGGCATAAATTTTAATTCAACAGCAGAAATAAAATTTAATTTGGCTCACTTCTCCTTAAGGCCATCCATCAGAACATGGGGAAAACGTTTTTAATAGTCAAAGTTGGTATCTTAGTCGGTACAGTGTACAAAAGCCTCAAAAATGACGTGAAAAGTTCAGGTTGTGCTTTTCGCGTGTGTCACAAATGTCATGTTTGA